TAAGATCCAAATACAGAATTCCTTTGGTTGTTACTTGAGGCCATAGAAAAACGATTATTTCCTTGTCCGATTATAGCGGCAGCAGCATGAATCGTGGCCATTATTTCACTATCTCGAATGGGTGTTTTCATAGAGTCGCGTGGACCTAATGGAGTAGGTTTCTTTCGATGTTTGTTTTTGAAATATCTATAGGTCATACCAGAAGCGACAATTAGAAATACGAGGGATGATGCAATAGCTATTGAAACTAATATAACCAAAGGAACTGGCAATGGTCCTGAAAAATTTTATAAAATAAAATAAATAAATCAATTAGAAAGAGATTTTTTTTTAAAACCATAATGTTAAAATGATTCCAATTCAGCTTACTTTTTCCAAATATTAATTCAGGAATAATTGTCGTGAATATAGTAATGATATGCCCCGAAACTCCATTGGTTTGTGAAGATAAGATATAAGGATACATATCTTTTCCATCATATAAAGCCGCACTAACATCTCCAATTGTGTCCAATTTTAAAGAACCAGAAACGAGAAGCAACCACTTTTCACCCAAATATTCAACATTTTCATGTTCACTATTCGAAGGAAGTAATGTTAGAGCTTCTATGTTAGAATCTGACATGATTTGTTCGCCTATGATCCTGAACTCATCGCCATTCCATTTACACAAATATGCAGAACCATCTGTTTCAGCGTGCCCTGAGACAAAGAATTGACCATCCATCATGAAATCATTAGATACTACGGTAGCAATTCCTGGAAGTTTATTCTTTCCGGATCCCAAGACACTCATATCTTCCCAACTTGATTTGCTAAAATCATATTTAAGTAAATAAACGGGTTTTCCATTTAAGGTCAAATTTCCGGCAACAACTAGGGGATTCGGATCTTTATTTCTCATTCTCTATACATAAATAATAATAATTATTATTGTTATTTATAATTATTTATTTATTTGAACAATAAAAATATTGTAACTTTATTTACCCCAATTAAATCCATAGAAAATATTTCACCGGAAATATCATCTTTCGCACCAAGAGTTTTCCATTGTCTTAGGCTTGAATCCCAAATACAAATAGTTTTGCATTCAAGTGAGCCGGCTTTATCGAATTTTCCGCCTACAAGAATTTCGGGCGTTCCTGTACGATTTCTTACCACATTAACCTTAACATTATCATCATCCGCTAAAAATGGCATTTAAAATGAGTTGAAAAAATTTTGGAATGTGAACAATATAAATAATTTTTTCTTACCGGTCAATTGAGGTGATACGATCACACTACGCTTGTACAAATCATAAATGACGAAAGAATTATAAATCTCGTTGCTTTCATTAGGTACGGTGAATGCACTTCCGATGTATAATAAATCATTTATTACATCAAGAGATTTGACCTCCCCTTCGAAAGCAACATCGTTTCCCAAGCTGTTCCACAAACCATCTTCGATAATGGCAACATTCTTGGTACCACTAAGTTCAAATTTGCCACCAATGATCACGCAAGACTTGTCATTTCTTGTATCGTTCCACAACAAACCAGTATTAATGATAATCTCGGGAACTTTTCCATCAGTAGCTTGTGGATATATTGGAAGTGCAGAAGTTCCAGAACTTGTAATAAGACTTCCTCCAAATGCGGTTGTAAGCTGAGCGGTTGAGATTCTTCCAGCATAAAATGTAAAAGGATCGTTTGTTCCAGAAACCGCGATATCCTTTATAATACCATCTATATAGCCAGCCGTTGCCCAGTCCGAGAATTTAATATCCCAAATTGCGTAACCAAATGTTACATTTCCATACATAATTCCATTTTCATTAGCCCATGGAGTTATAGCCGTATTGAACTTACCGGCCACATGAACTTGTTGATGATCCTTATTACCAAATAAAGTTAACCTTCCTACTTCACCATTTACACCACCAGCAATTGGATTCCACTGATTTTCTGAGAGGCTTAATCTGGCGAGATTCTCTAATCGTAGTGATGCAGGCCCTAATGCAGTACCATTGAATAAACCTCCAACCAATAAATTGTCCTCAACTTGTTCTAAAGTGTTTACTCGACCATTAAGACCTCCATTAGGTAGTGGTATAAATGTATTACCATCATATTCTACAATATTGAAGAATGTGACATTATTGAATTTACCACCGATTACAATTGTATTTGGAGATGAGACTTTAATAGTGTGTACAGTTGAAAGGGGAGCCAATACACCATTAAATCTATTCCATGCAGGTTCATTCAGATCTGAAGCTGGTATATATTGGAATAACCCGCTTAAAGGAAAACCATATAGACTCTTTACAAATCTAATACTGTCCACTACAATAATAGCTTCACCTCCGACGGGTACTGTTGCAGTAGTTGATACTGTAATTTCCACAGTAGGTTGAAAAAAAGTTGTAGTAGCAACGATAAATAATCCAGGAAATAGTACATCTCTTCGATTAAGTTGTGAAGGATTATTTTGAGAAATTGTTATAGGTCCAATTGTTTGATCAGGAGCAACGGTGATCCTGACATCAATGGAGATCGTTTTTGAACAATCATATGGAATACAACTAGGAGTATCCATAGAAACATTATAATATCCAGCTTGTGGAATATATGGTCGCATGATAACTTTTACTGTAGATGTAGCAAGTTCTCCAGCTGGAATTATTGTCTGCAACACATTTTGCCAAATTCCTGAAAGTAACTTAGTTGTCCATACGCCTTCATATGTCACTTTTGGTTGAAATATGTTGGTGCCACCACAATTGGGATTATTATCATTCATGTCACTCACGGCACGTACAATAATATCTAAAATAAAGTGAGATAATATTATTTTTAAACCTTTTTTTTAAAAGGAAAAAAAAATATGTTCTTTAGTGATTATTTTTACCTGATTGAAAAAGTTTAATTCCATGAAATCCTCCACCATTTCCGTACCATTCCAAAATGTCGATTTGAATTCCTGTTAACTCTGGTTGACTAACAAACGTGAACATTTGAAAATCTTCATTACTTGGACTAAGAGGGCAAGATGTACACGTTACTAACAATCCATTTATAGGGTCCATATAAGATAATGTAACTACACTCATATCAGCTGTGGCGATTAACCTATATCAAAAGGATAAAAATGAAAAATTGTTTTTTTGAAAAATACTCCAAGGATAGAATGATTCACCTTTTTCTAATAAAATCTCCCCTCTTTTTTTTTTTTTACCCAATCCCATCATTTACCTAAATGTCTTTGTTCCCCTTCCCTCAAAATTTGTATTCTTAATTCCAATCACACTTGGAGTTAATTTAACGTTGAATTCTGCCCTCCAAAATCCTGGCATGCCATCTCTCATTAACCAAGTTGTTCCAGGTCCATCAGGCTCTGAATTACATAAAACAGAATATGGATTACCAAGAATTTCTCGATCAGCTGAATTCCCTCCAGTAATCTGTAGTTATAAAGATAATTTTAAATAAAGTGAACTCATCTCTTTGAATTAAATACTTGAAAGGAATCAAAAAATGTTACCACAGCTTTTTGAATATTTATTGGTTGAGTATTTGATGCCGCACCAAATATTCCATCACCAGTTGCATCAAATTGACCTCCAAAATATATAGTGTTGTTAGGCTCATTATACGCAATGGTATAAACTGGCCCATTAAATCCTTTGAAAGGTAATGGCACCCATGTTTCATCACGCCATACAGCTACACTACCAGCAAAATCCGTGGCATTTATATTGTTTGCCACTGGATTCGTTGGAGTTACGAACGAACCTCCAACATACACGATAGAATTTTTGGTATCACAATACAATGAATATACTGGACCATCCAATCCCTCTACTAAAGATGATAATGTTTTGCTAGATGGATCATAACGAGCTATATTGTTAACCGATATATCTCCGAGTGTATCAAATTTCCCACCAATATATACATCCATCCCTTCATTAGACCGTGGTAGTATACATATCGCATTTATAGTTCCATTATATGATGTCGTCCCGACCAACTGAAAGGGATTATTTTGTGCTTGTGATATAAAGGAGTCACTCGTTATATCAAAATTTTCTCTTTGTCCTGGTGCACTGTATACTGATATACCATTATATTGACCCAAGGTAAGAATTTGAGACAGCCCATTGAAATTTATTTTTGGTGCCTCAGCTGTAACGGTTACAAATCCTTGCAATATCCCAGTACAAGATATTAGTACCGTTACTATTATATCATATATTCGTATTGTCTTCATATTTTAAACATAGAATAAAATTTTTCAATTTTATTCGGGATCTATAATATATTATACTTTTGAAAGAAAAATTGTTCGTAAAAATTAAAATAAAATTAACTGGCTTTAGATATTATTTATTTTATTATGGTTTATTTTTTAAAAAAATTTTTCATAATTAAAAGTTCTATTTGCTATATTATTCTATACAAAATTTGCGACCTTCAACAACTGAAAGTTTCAAAGTTGTGTTGTTTTAAGGGTCACAACACTTCCTCTTTAAATAAATATAGTATATTTTTATATTATATATAATATACCTACACGATTTTTTTTTTTTTTTTTGCCTCGGTAACTTTTTTTGTTTTCGAAAAAGAGGCAAATTATGCAAATAATGCAAGCTGTAGGCATTAAAAAAAAAAAAAAAAAAAAAAAAAAATTAAAAAAGTACAATTGATACTATATTCTTTCATTCGTACAGAATCATCAGCCTTGCTCTTTTTGAGAAGTACAAATTGAAAAGGGAAAAAAAATTTTTTTTTTTACAATTATTCAATTCAACTCAATTTGGAGTTCTGTAAATTGTGATACGATCACCTATTTTTAATTTATATTTTGCTGAAAATTCGGTGGTACAAATCTAATAAATATATATGAATATAAAGTAATTTATATTGTATAACAATCTACATTCCGGAATGTTGAGTAAAAATGCAGTCATTGCACAGGAACAAACCTAATAGTTGTGTTAATATGGTAATTTAGGATAATTTTGCAGCCTACATGATCAATAATGAGAATATCTTTAGCAGGAGAATTCTGCAGGGTAATTTACCCCTTGATTTAGAACCTAAATAAGGGTATAAGGTTACCTTCTCATATAATGATTCAACAACATTTCCCATTTGTTTCAACGTTTCCAATGTGGCTTCATATGTTAACTTGATACGATATTGAATATTAATAATCATGTCAAATAATGTGAATAGATCATATACATAACCTTAAAAAATAAACTCACATCTTGAGATGGTTCATCAAAAACAATTAAGCATCCGGCGCCTTGATCCAGGATTCCATGAAAAACTTTATCCAATATCATTTGAGATAATTTTGTCTCTACTTGCGGAGTTGGCAATTTGACCATTTCTGCAACATGTGAAATTTCGACCCTTGAGAATGGTTCTATTATACGTACTAAATTTTGTTCGAGCAAAGTGTCATAAAGTGCAGCAAGATGTGATCGAATGATTGGATCATTTCCCAATTCTATGAAAATCAGAAGTTAAATCAACGATAGGTTATAAGGAAACATTTAAGGAAATGATGTCATGATAATTAATACCATCTTTATAAGTTGCTAACGCATTTTCAAATTCGTTGAGTGAACGATTTTTATGAGCCGTTGCTACAGCTTTCATAGCATCAACTTCACGTCCAGCGTAACGTAAAGCGAGTTTACCATTGATAATGGCATAAACGTCATCCGACTATATAATTCAAAAAAGGTATATAAATTAATTACGTAAAATTTTTTAAAAATAAATGAGGTATTATCTTTACCAGATTCAACATGATTTTACAAAGCAACATATATTTCAAAGCGAGAATAGCTCTTGAATCATCTTGTGAAGAATATCCTTCAAGAGTTTCATAAAAATATGAATATCTATAAATATAAAAGTTATAATGTAGGTTGGGTTATGAATAATAAAAGTTCAATGATAATATAAAATATTTAATTACGTACGCGGTTTTATAGTCTTTATCCTCAGCGTGCAAAATTCCAGACTGCATATCAAGTGCAGCTTGAAGAAGAGGTGGACAATAAATAGCGTTCGCTGACGTTCTAGCTGATGTAAGGGCAGCCTTAAAGTATTTTAATATTATTAGTATAATGATAATTACGACATTCACCATTAAAAATTGAAGTTTACCCTGGACTTTGGTAAATTTCGTAATGCATGGCAAACTCTACTCTCCAAAAGCTGGACTTCCACCAACACCATTTTATCATCCAAACGTTTTAATTCTCTTAAAAGTGAATTAATAAGAGTTAAAGCGTCATGGTACATTTTATGATCAAGGTATCTAATAAAAATAATAATAGTAATAACGTTAACATAAAACATATATATATAGCCAATTATCCAAGGAAAAAACTATATATATATTACAAAGCTACTAAACGAGTCTCTAAAGATTGTTTTAAGAAAATTCGCTTTTCTTGTACGCTCCAGTCAATTGTCTCCTTGCAAATTTCGATTTGGAGAGGTAGTGAATCGGGAATTTCGGAGAACAGATCAATCAACGTCTTTACTGAAATAATCCATTCAATTCATTAAAAATAGAATCGATTTCTTAAATCGATTATGAAACAACAATAATAACATATAATACAAATACTATACCGATTTTAGCAGTTTTTGCTCTCACGATTGACGCCATAAAAGTTCGGGAAGAACGTATCAAATTTGATAAATCATTGGGTTTTCTAATACAAGGAATCATGAATCTTTAAATTTCATAAACATGTAGTAATTAATTTTTTTTTATTTTTTGATACCTATAATCCCGATAAAGTTCACCGAGCTTGACAAGAGCAAGTTCTTGATCCCGTGCCAAATTATCATTATTTCCTAAAGAAATAAAAATATAAAATAGTCGATTATGAAATTATCCCGTGCAAAGTTATAATGTCACGTATTAACATAAAGTACATACCAGCATTTTGTGCAAGAATTTTCTTATATATCTGTTCTGCTTCAACAGGATAGGTCTTAACAAGTTCCTCGGCTTGTTTCAAAAGTGAAGACATATTGATATATTGTTAAACGATATCGACTAATGGTGTGCGCTGCTGCAAGAAAAGTTCTTTGAACACACCGTGACCTATGGGGCAACGTAATCAGCAAAAAGTAAAAAAAGGGGAAGTTTTTGATTGGTTGATGAGACATGAAAATTTGTTACACGATATATATATAAGATTTCGTGGTATTCATGAATTAAATAAAAAATATTTCTTACTATAAACGATAAACAATCTCTCAATGCAGCAGCAACAACAATTTGAGCTGGTTGATCCACCTTCGGATGCAATTTCCTCAGTCGTGTTCTGTCCGACCACTTCAAATCACTTGTTAGTTTCTTCTTGGGATAAGGTACATATTTCATTTTTAATTTCATTTTATCGCTTACTCTCTTGTATTAAATCACACGTTTCTAGACGGTGAAACTTTATGACGTGGAGGAAAATTCACTTAAAGCTTCGTTTCAACATAAAGCCTCAGTTCTCGACTGTTGTTTTTCTGACGGAGCACACGTATTTAGTGGAGGACTAGATCATTGCATAAAAAGGTGAAAGTTATATCAATTTTTTATTAATAATTTTTTTTTATTAATCAATATTTTTTATTTAAAAAGTTTTGATATCAACACGACCAACGAATTCATTGTGGGTTTACACGATAAGGCAGTAAAATGTGTCGAATATAGTTTAGAAAAGCGTAAGCTAAATTAAAAATTCACGTATTTTCAGTTGGTCTTTTATCACAATATTTTAATTTGTTTTTGTATAGACATGATTGTATCTGGATCATGGGATTGTACAATTAGATTATGGGACGTTCGTAAAAAGGACGCACTATCTGGACAATATGAAATTGGAGAAGGGGCAAAAGTATTTGCGTTGTCATTAGTTTATTATAAATTAGTGGTAGCAACGGCTGGTAGACAATTTTTTATTTATGATATTAGAAATATGTCTGAAACCATACAAAAACGTGAAAGTAGTTTGAAATTTATGACTCGTTGCGTAAAGTGTATGCCTAATCGACAAGGTAAGGATTAATTTAATTATTTAATAGATTTCTCAAACTTACGATTTTGATTTTTTACTTTTTATTTTGGTTTAAACTGTAGGTTATGCTAGTAGTTCAATCGAAGGACGCGTTGCTGTGGAATTCTTTGATCCATCACCTGAAATTCAAGCACGTAAATATGCGTTTAAATGTCATAGAAAAGTTATTGATGGCGTAGATACAGTTTACCCCGTTAACGCTTTAGCTTTTAATCCAACGTGAGTTAATAATAATCATTTTTTATTCTTTATAAAAACATACTTACATATTTATAAAATTCATCTATATAGACATGGAACTTTTGCTTCGGGAGGAGCCGACGGTGTAGTAAATATTTGGGATGGTTTCAATAAAAAACGGCTAAAACAATATCCTCAGTATCCAACTAGCATTGCAAGTTTGGATTTCAGTAAAGATGGGCAATATTTGGCTATAGCAAGCAGTTATACATTTGAAGAAGGTGAAAAAGATCATCCTCCAGATTCTGTATTCATAAGACACATTGGTGAAAATGAATGTAAACCAAGAGTTGTGGCGTCCAGTGCTTAATTAAAAGGTTCTTGTATAATTTAATTGTTTTATGTAATATCGTCGTTAACTTTTTTTAGATCGGGAAATGCTAATTTTATTGTTAGGTAAGCATTTCTGTGTTATGTTTTTTTTTTTCCTTTTAAATTTTAATTTTTACTTCTAGCTACCAGATGACCTATTTAAGTGAGTAAAATTCATTTACTATTTTATATAATAAAATCTCTTTTTTTAACAGTTTTTTTATCATCATTTATTTATAAAATAATTATAATATATTATAAACATGTCAATAAAATTTAATAAATTCATTAAAATCCTGGAAATAATAATAATGATGATGATCAATATATATGTTAAAAATAAGCAATTATAAACTTGAATAAACTATTTAGTATACCATATTTTGCTTGGGTCTCTCTTTTTGTTTTCTTATTTGCTGCAAACTGTTCCTTTAAATCATTCTCCATGGCAGCTGCTTGATATGCCAAATACATTAAATTATGTTTTCTCTTTTGTCCTTTTGTGGGTTTTAACTACATAATTTAAAGAACATCTTTTCAATTAACATTATCCCGAAATTTCTACAATAAATAATAATTTAAAAAGCGACACGTACTGCTATACCGCCTCCTACTTTGCCAGGTTTTGTTAATTCACCCATTTGAGCTTGCCATGCATCTGCCATTTGATCTGCTGCACTTATCTCTTTAATTATAATCGGTCCTTCTTTACCTCTTCTACCTCCTAATTGTTGAATCTATACAAAAATAAAGATAAAATAAATTTTTTTTTAAAAAAAAATGGTATACATATATATATATTTTAAGATAACAAATTACCGCTTCGTCTTCTATTTGATAATCAGGCTGTGCTTGTTCACTATTTATTTGTAGTTGAGACTCATCATAATAATTTTCCGTATATGAATTTGTCCCAGTATCCCATTGATAATTATAATAATAATCATTTGTCGCAAAACTTTCTGCTGTCTCATTTGATTCACTTGATTCAATATTAGGTGATTCTGTTTTATCTAATTTAACTGTATTAGAGGATTCATTTGGTATTATATTCGTTATCTCAGCCCCTGTGATAAGGAATAAAAAAAAAAAAAAAAGTTGAAATAGAAAATAAAATTTATTTAACATCTATTTAAGGAGGAAAAATAAAATAATTTACCTAGAGGAAAGAATGATTCCGAAAACTTGTTGCTTTCAATTGTATCTTCAGTTTCATCTTCATTTATCTCTTTTCCTTTTATTTTGGAAAGAGGTTGTGATACATTAGAAGCTTTTTTTGCCATCACAGACTTTCGTTTGGTAAGCGTATGAGGAACAAAACTTGTAGACACTGTCGTCGATTTAATAGTTGAGGAACTAACTGAATTACTTGTTGAAGTATTTTGTTTACTAGTAACTGATCTCTTTGGTGCCGGTAATATTGCAAATAATCCACTACCACCAGAGGAATTTGGTTTCGATTTTATTTGCTTTTCATCACTATCATTTTCATCATCGTTGTCAAAACTTGGTAAATCAACCATTATTTTAACAGGTCCATTCCTTTTGCTTTTTGGTGGTGGAAGTAATGAGGATAATAAAGGTTTTTTGGTGGTTGTCGTAGTTTCTGTCACATTATGAACGTTCGTTTCTTCATCACTGCTGGACGCATCTGACCCATAATCAGCAACAAGCGACATTTTGAATTTTTTTTTTTAAATTTGAAAATAGCCTAACTGGTGAGAAGCTTTTTATCCTACAACCTTTTTTCTCGGACAAAATCGATCGTCATTGACGGTCATGGAGGGACTTTCATGTGATTGGCCGATCCTAATCAATTGATTGGTACATTATTTATACAGTTTAGAGTACTTTTCAGAATATTGTGTTACTATTAGTAAAAGTAAAAAAAAATCTCATTTTTAATTTCAAAAGAGCGCTAAAACCCACCTTGTAAAATAATCAAAATTCTTGAGGTACTTTACTTAGGAGTGAAATATGCCTATTATTGAACCATGTATTTGTCAGAAACAGTCAACCCAATGGAGAAAGGTAACTGAAAATGTTTTTACCAAAAGTCAAACTAACAATACCTTGCCAAGTTATGTTCAAATAGGTGATATTATTTGTATGAACTGTTATAACAGAATTATGGTAAACGTTTCAGCTGAATTTCAACAGCATGCTTAAGCTAGTAAAAATTGTGAGGCTGAGGAAATGGAGGAGATGACCGTTGAGACTAATGAGACTGAGAATATTAATGCTATTCTATCCTTTTCTCAAGTAATAGCAATAATAATAAACATCTTATATAGGTGTGAAAAAAAAGAAAAGAAACTGCTATTATACTCATTCGATGAATTTAGAATAACTATGGAAGGGGAGGATGCAAGGTTAAAATCCTTTTTTGATGAGCTATATCTTTCAACTAATCCATTCTCAAAAAATAAGATTCACAGGCGCGGGTGAAAAGACAACTTTTATTTATTTGTTACTTTCTTTGTGGAATTCATAACAAGTTTATAAACTATGCAAGGAGGGATTTAACAGTGTATTTAGATTCAACTGATACTTCTAACGCTACTATAGATACTCTTGCTGATTTAGGTATAGCTACAACATCTCATATGGTCACATAACTAAAGATGTTTCCCATAATTATTTTCAAATTTCAATTGAGTTGCAACTTAATTGCGCCATAAGGAAATTTAATTGCACCACAAGTTGCAACTCAATTGCGCTATTTTTTTTAATTGCGGTGACCATCTTTACACACGACATAAGAATATTATATCCGAAGAACATGCTAGGACCGTTGATTCAGTACTTGCTGAGTATGTAGAGAATGCAATAGTATTAAATATTGATGATTACCACAGCATTTACACAAAATGGATGCCAAATACAAACTACCACATCTACTACTACACATTTGGCAACAGTCTTAATGAATCCAATCGCTATGCAAAGTGCAATTCTGAATACAAATATACACAACCTTGTACTTGTTTATGCTAAACTGATTAAAACAAATATGGCAAATAAGTTCATGATGTTTTATGGTCTTTCACATGATCAGTGATGAGGTTTTACATGATTAATAATGATACGAAATTGGAGGAGTTAACTATACACAGTTATAATATTAGGTTAAAGGAAAAGCGACATGTTCGATCAATGAAGGATGTGATTCTTGTAGATTTATAAGAGAACAATCTTCATTTGTTAAATGCATATCTCAAGGCAATTGATGTTATCGTAAACATTCTATCTATGCTACAATATATTCAAAAAGGATATACCATTCCTATTGTCGCTGATTAACCTGAACAGATTTATCTTAGAACAGCTATTTCACGCTATATATGCCATTATAATTTATCGAATATTACTAATAACATTTTGTCTTTTATTCTTATTATAGGTCCTCTGCATATTTCGTTAAATAGCTGAGAGTTAATTTCCTTCAGTATCAACCTTTTTTCAGCTATATACAAGTTTATTTTTAGAGAAAGAAAGCCACTTGCACAAAAGCCTAAACCATAATGTATCGATCTTCTTCTAGAAATTTCTCGCAGTACTTAGCAAGAAATTTCTACAGTTGTTGAAGTAAAATTCAGACCTTTGTGCAAAAATGCTGAATATCTTGCACTTAAAGACCTTCTTGATAACATACTTCCTCTTGTTTTGGATATATATGCCGTATTTTTTCGATCTGGTGATTTTGATGCTTACTTGAAATTTTGCTTTCGTGTTTGGACAGTATTTCTTAAATTTAATCGCAGAAATTATACTAAGACACTATTGATGTTCCTTTCTGATATTTTTTATTAGAAATCGAACAATTATCCAATCCTAGAGGCTATCAAGGCTAAACTTCTAAAGTTTTTAGATTCAACCGTAGAAATATTTCATAATTTTTTACGTAGAAGTACACAAAAATATACAGATACGTAACAGATTATTAAATATGGGCATTATATTAATCATTTACGTTTAGATGATAATGAATTTAGAGAAAACTTTGCATACACATCTATATGGGTAGTCTACAAATATTCTGCAAGAGATATTACGGTTTTGATCAAAAAAATACTTGTTTTATTTTACAATGTTTTACAGAAATATATACACGTATATTTAATCATAACTCACTAATAATATTTCAATTACAGACTATCATAACCTCATCTTCAAAGAAAAAAAGCAAGAAAAAGTTGATGATACCATTTCATTAACTGCAATAAAAATGTCAAAAGCACGATTATGTCACCTTCCATTGGGTTTTAGTACTTTATATAAACCAGATCCACTTTGCTATTGTGATGCATCTAACTGTTCTGATTTTTCATTTATTAATATAGATCAAATTAAAATTTTAGCTTGCGGTCATACTTATCATATGTCTTGTTACAATAATAATGTGTCAAAATGTTTATATTGCTTATTATTTCTACAAAATGGTGTTGATGAACATGTTAAATCCTTATTAAACTGTTTACAACATTTTAATAAACAAGAAGTATAAGTTAGAGAGTCAGAAAATGATACTTTCTGTGATGATAATGATAAAACTGAACCAGTAGATTATGTAACATTAGCATTTGAACGGACATTGCAGAAATTTCAATCACAATAAAATTTTAATGTTTAATTTTTATTTTAATAATTAAAACTACTATATAAATTATTGTATAATATTAATAAATTAAATCATATTTGATTGAAAATTAAATTATAATCTTTAAAATAGGCGTAATTTAATTTTTAAAAAATGAATTAAGTTTATATAATAATATCATATAACATATATAAATATTTATAATACAATGCAAAATTCATGTAACCTGACTGGCCAATCACATAAAAGTCTTCCTATGACATTGACGGTCAATTTCATAAATATACATTCATATTTTTTCATGTGGATTGGTATGTGTCAGATAATAAAATTTTCTTGACAAATTTGCGAGATTGCGCGGTCTCAGAAAACACATAACTTGTTTCTTTTGAATATAAATCATAAATATTACTAGGAATAGTATTACACAATTTCGCGATAATGGTATGGTATTGATATGGTATTTTTTCAGATCTAATAATACAATATATTATTTAATACAATATTAGCGCAGTATTTCTTAAAAATAGTTATTATGCAATTTTTAGACTATCTTAACAATCGCTTTCATGTAACTTTGGTTAAAATCATTCCACAGTTAGGGATGGAAAATTAACGGTTAATTAAAATTTGGTTAATTAACTAGTTAATTAACCGTTAATTAACCGTAATATAAATTTTAAAGATTTTATATAAAAAAATTTTTTTAATTTTTTATTTATTGTTATTACAATATTTCTTATTAAACAGAAATTTATTATTTCAAATAGCTATATATTGATATTGTTACAATAAATTTATTACATTTGATTCAAATCCGAAAATACTATCATCAAAATTCAATAAATCATTGTCATTATCATTACCTCTTTCATTGCCTCCTTCATTATTATCCTCTTTATTCTTTGTGAATTTCTTGCCTTTATTATATAACTTTATTTTTTGAACTCATCATACATCTGAAGATTTCTATAAATATAAACTAACTTTTTAACGTGATCATTACGTAATCGATTTCAGATTTTGCTATAAATAAATCTAAAAGTAGAAAATTTTCTCTCTGTAGCTGCTGATGATGTAGGAATTAAAAAATTTTTGATAACCAATTGCTGAAGCTCACAGCTTGGCCATGATTACCACCACATAGAAGGACTAAAAGTAGATAATAACATCCAAATTATTTCATTATTATATAATGAAGCTTTTTGATGAAATTTTACTAGCTCAATAAACAATGTTACAGATTTTTCCTGATCAAACAATTTGTTAATAAATGCTGTAAATTCAGAATATCCAGTTGCCTCTAAATCTGTATTCCTACTTTCTTCTAAAAAACATGGATCTAACATATAAGCAGCTATCATAATAGGATGATATACATACTCCCATCTTTTTTGAATAAATTGCTGAATATTTTTAGATAAATACCATGAAACTTTACAAAATTATTCTATTAATTTGCTATAATATAAATAAATTGTTGAAAGAATAGATGTATCTGATTCAAAAGACTTTAATGCTACAACTATTAGTTCTAAAATATTAATTATTAAATCTATCATTTGTCAAAATTTATCTGATAATATATTATTTCTCATTATTTGATCCATTTTTTGACAAATCAAAGGATTCATCAATGATTGTTCAAGAGCAATTCTTGATTTTTTAAGTGATTGAAAACAGATAAGATGTGTACTCCATTGTGTAAGTACTGGTAAAACTAATGTAATCTTCTTGTTATAATTTTCTAATTGAATATGTTTTAATTTTACTGCTACTTGTAGATGAGATCTAAAATAGATTACTATTGATTTTGCATTATTAACTATAGCTTTAATTTCATCAAAACATAAAATATCTTTAATTAAAAGATTAATAATATGAGAATTACACCTAAGACAAACAATATTAGGATATTTTTCTTCAATATTTCTCCATGCTGCTTTTATTACATTAGTTATATCTATAATGACTGCTGAAAACTTTTGGATACCAATAATATTCATTTGTTGAATTATTTGATCTGCAATCCATTCTGCTGTATGAGATTCTTCACCTGAAAAAGTTGCATTAAAAAAAAATAGTTTTGGAGTACAAATAATAAAACTATATACTGAATCTTTATTAATGTTAGACCAGCCATCAGAAACTATACAAAGAGTTGTTGCTTTTGAAATTTGTTCATTTGCTTGTATCTTTACATCTTCATAAATCTCATCCAATAATTCATTAGCAATCTTCTTTCTATTTGGAAGTTTAAAAGATGATCAAAGATATTTAAAAAATTGAATAATAAAAGGATTATCAACAAAGGTAAATGATACTTCAGCTGAATATAATGCTTGAGCTAGTAAAAATTCAAGAGATTCCTGTTCTTCTTCCTTCATATTATCAATAAAATTATCTAATTTAATTTGTTTTTTAGATCTATTTTTTTTAATAAGAGGTGTATTTGTATTAGTTAAAGGATGTTCTATAATATTAAAGGGTATAGGATTTTGTATTGGAATAGTTTTTTGTAATTTAGTATTACTTGGTGTATTTAAACACTCATTAAGATGAGTTTGCATTCTTAAAGAAACAGCTCTATTGAAAACTTTAGAACAATAATTACATTTTACAGAAGGATGTAAACTTGGTTTAATCTCATTATTTTCTATTGAACTTTGTGTAATAATTGTCCAATGGTTCCAAATAGTTCCCTTCTTTTTTACCATTTTGAATAAAAAAAACCAAAGAAATTATTGAAAATGTACTTCAAAAAGTGTTGACTTTATTTATAAATCAAATATTTGATAAGTTGAAAATAATAAGAACAAGGAGAACAAGGAATACAAGCAAAGCTATTTAACGTGATTTTAGGTTTTACATATTAAAAAGGTTAAAAAAGGAAAATTTATATATTTAAAATTAAACTTTCAATAAATATTAACGTTAACGTTAAACGAAAAAAAAGATGATCTATTATTTATATTAATCTATAAATTTTATTAGTCAATTTTTCTTTGATTTGATTGGTCAATTCAAAATTAATAAAAATGGTTAATTATCCCTCAGTTAATTAACGGTTAATTAATCATGTTAATTAATTATGTTAATTAATGCCCATCCCTATTTACAGTAGTTATCTGCATGATTTTAAGCCACATCTAATATATATAATCATTTAATATGTAATGATTTGTCTTTTGCGCTTCTGCCACTTTTCTCTTCACGTAATTGCAATAATGTAATTAAGAAGGTATATAATACCATGATCTCTAGAGACCTGAATCCCAAAAAAATAAAAAGCTTTTTACAATGTGTACTGACAAGTAACTTTGAGTCTTGATCGATAACCGTAAAAAAAATAACAAAATGTTTCATAAACTAGCTGGGAATGGAAAGAGAATTTACTGGAAGAAAGTCTCCATAAAGATCAACCTTCAGTTTAGAACATCTTATACTGATGTGCGTTGTAGAGAAAAGTTTGAGAGTCTTAAACGGGATTGTAAAGTATATAGAAATCCTTCTGAAATCTCTGAAACCTCAGCTATGCACAACACCTGATGCTAGACTAATTTATCTTTTCTATTTAGCGTATGGAAGCATACATTGATGGTAAAGCCAATGGAAAAAGGACTAAAAATGGTCTCAAGTATTATAAAGAATTCAAAGAACAGTTCTGAAAAATACCAGGTAAAGATTAGTTGATTAGAGAAAGGAATATTTATGAGAAGATATACTAATTCCTAATACTTTATTTCACTATAGTGACTGACTATGATCAGCTCTATAAACAAAATATTACAAGAAGACATCAAACCCATCACCGCCATATGAAGAAAATGGAGGTTCTACTTTACAAATACCATCACTACACTTGTAATGATAGGAATAATTATATCTAACTATTAGTATTTTCGCTGTAGTTATTTTATATTGCTAGAAATCACCCAATACTTGTATAATGTGAATACCAATTATAATAAAAATAATATCATTATTTTTGAAAGAAAATTAACTGAGAGGCACTTTGCATGAATTAGCTTGAGTACTTTTTTCATTGCGCTTCTGCCTCACCTCTATCTCTTTCTGCAGGTTCAATGATGTGTCAAATCTTAGCTGAATTGCAAAAGGATCATCCTCAGACCTACTGAAATCAAATACAACAAACTCACCCTTTTTGCGGAGATAGCTATTAATGATCATTGATGCATTTTTTACATCATCTATATAGCATTTAATGATCTTGAAAATATCTTGAGAACTTTGTAAAATTCAAACACAGAGTATTTATTGCTACTATGAATTTGGTCATGTGCTTCAAATTCAATTCAAGATACGTTAATTCAAATAAACTAAATGAATCTACAAATATAAATTTTATGTTATTACATGATGTAATTTTAGCTTTAAGCGGATACATGTATTGTATATTTGCAATTTTCTTATTTTAATAAAAATATATTTTTAGAAAAATAATCTCTACTTTTTTTTTGCATTAAAGATTTATTAAAGCACAGCTATGCTAGAAAGTAATAAAAATTAAAAATTAATTAAAAGCTAATATAGTATAATTTGACTTTTTTCGAGGAGAAGTTTGATAGTCTAGAAAATCATTTTCAGATCCTGACCTCTTTGCTCTGCTTATTTCTTAAAGCTTCTTTCAAATTATTGCATTTTTAATTTAATAGTCCTATATTTTGTTTAATACGAAGCTAGAGAAAATAATAGAATCATAAGAATAAGCAGATAATTTATTTTAGAAATGTCTTTAAACTTACCTTGGCAACAAGGACTTCATGAATTAAAAATATTAGATCTTCTGCATCTAATAATGATCATGGTATCCTGTATAAATGATTTTTCCGAAATTGACATATATAACCTGCTGGGAGGTCCATAATGATTTGTTGCAAATATTGCGCTTGATAAATTAATAAGTTGGACTATATTATAAAAAAATGTTTCTTACCCAAATGTAGAAATCCAACAATTTCTAAATGCTGGGATTTTACGAAATCCATTCCAAGCTTGTTGACCTTCTGTTTCATCATGTCTTTCATTACCTTTGGCATTTTTAGCTCACCATCTGATAAGTATTTCGTTCTACTTTTCCCGTAAAAAGTTTTCCCTCTTCATTAACAGCATATTCTTTGATCGATGCAAGCTCTCGCAAAATTTCATCACACTTTCTGCTAATTTTAGACCTTATTTCTGCACTTTCTCTCGCTTTATTTTTTCATTTTGACGATGCATGTGAGCATCCTTCCCCCCTGAAAAATTGATCATAACGTAATTATACTGATAAGTGAAAATTCAAAAAAATACATTAAATAACTTACCGGATAAACTCAACTGTGTATAAATCAATAAGGTATGAGTCAATGATTATATTCCATATATTAGAGTTTAACCACCCTTCCAAGTGTGTTTGAGTAAAATCTCCAGATCTCAGTTCATATCTAGGCAGGCTGACAACAGAAAATAGATAAATACAAGTCACAATTATCATTAAGAATATGATTTATTACTCACAGGTTAGCGAAAACTTGATAGACATATTGATAATCAAAGTGATTTTTAGGATCATATGGAGTTATGTCTATCCCTGCATTAATTTTATCCCGCATCTTTGAAATATCAGTCTATATAATGGAAAGGATGTTATTACAGTATTGAATACAACATTCTCATTGTACTTGCAAGAAAGATGATACTCACTTCATTAAATGTAATAAGATATTCCATTAGTCTATCCTCTAATTCAGGATTATTCATAATATTGTATGTCTTGATATATTCTTGATCTTTTTTATCAAACAATTTCATTATAGTCTCGTTTTTGATATCAAGAATAAAACTGTGTGATGGACTTGTAAAAATATTAGATTAGCAGATCATAGCTTATGACAATAGATACTTTTAAACTTAACACTACCATTCATAAGGGAGATCCTTTGTGTAATTAAAAATAATATCTTCAACATAACTTTCGGATGGAAGCTTTCATTTCATATTATTGCACATTGCGAGATAGTTTTTTTGAAAATCTTGAAATTGACGATTATCCATACCACCATTGCTGACTTTAGACAAACTCTGAAGTTTCCTAATTATTGACTTCGCCTTTTTTGTGATAAGTTTTGTGGTGTACGAGTTATTACGCATGTCTATCGCCTTGTTTATTACTTCTTGTTTGATAAACGAGTAATCTTTTTCATCAAATTTTATGTGAGATTCTTCAAGATATTGCAGGGTATACTTGAGCTCCCAATTCTTGCAGTCCTTGATGCAATTATCGAATGATTTGATGATAGCATTTTTAAGAGCGGTACGAGTCATCGTGTCCGTTGTCAAAGGAATATGAGATGTGAGCTATTAAAAATCTTGATAGGAATGTAGTATTGTGTATGACGTTACGTGTGGTAACGAAGTCATGTGGTATTCAATTTGACCATGTATTAATTAGCCGTATTGTAATATTTTTTTTCAGAATGATGAGAACATCTGACAGCAAGACAAACCACATATGACATCATAAAAAGCCAGAGAATAGGAACATGTCAAAAAATAATAATTAAATAGAACAAATTAAGGTATTGTTAAAGTAATGCAAACATTATCATTGTTGTTAATATGATTATTAAATAGCTTAACCTTGTAGAGTATTTTTTTAACCATGTGGAAGAGCGGTGTATCAGCGCTGGTGCACTGTAAGGCCAAGAATCCAAGCAAGTTCTTTCCTTGCCTATGGGTATGCTGTGACATATGCCGATTTTTTGTGCGTCTTCCACAAGATAACATATTCACCTTGTTGAAACATCGCCTTATCCCTTTGATTAGAGGTGATATTTCCTTGTTAATGCAAGTTTAAATGACAGAGGTGTGCGCGCACTATCTGAATGCTCAGTATCAAGAACACTTTTTGGTAGTTATTTTATGGGTGCTTTCAGCATGCCAGTCACTGTAGTGTCACTTTAGTCGAATATGTTATCCTGATCTTAGTATTCTTTGTTGCATAAGATAAGTATATATATTACCCGCTTACTAATTGTTCGCCCGTGATATTTTATATTGATATTTTATCAGAAACACTATCGGAGTTGAATTTTTCGTGAAAATATCAATATGACATAATTACCATAATATTTCAAATGAAAATCGTATCGCAAAATATTTAATATATTTTATTTAATAAGCTTGACATAGAAAAAAGCATTTTTTTAAAATATTACATTATTATAAGCATAAAAAAGTAAAAGTTAACATTTGAAAGTGACAATTATTAAACATCAGAACCTTACCTTTACTACTATTATTGAAAGGCATATTAATTGGTAAATCTTGTGATTCAAAATTTATAATTTGTAATGGTTTCTTATTTTAATCTTGAATTTGTTGCTCAAGAATAAAATTTCCTTTTTAAGTCAATATTTTTGGATGTTTTAGGTTGTAAACATATTAAATTTTACACAGTCTTCTTTGATCTCATTTAAAAAAATTGTAAAAAAAAATTATTTATGGATGTAAAAAAACAGTGCTTTTTACGTCACAATAACATGTGACTTACATAATTCATGTGATTTTTCTTATCACAGGCATTAGTAATCGGAAAATATAATAGTTATTTACCGCTCAATCGCTGACATCATCAGGGTCACGGCTGCGCTGTGACACCTGATGATATCTCTGATTTTGCGGTAAATAACTAATACTTATAATCTTTGTTTGTGAAAATCTGGTATATTAAAGCAATCTCATATCATTTCAGTAAAGCGATTCCTGAAATATATTTGATGAATCATCATATTAATGCGATTATTCACATCGGACTTTTATTTTTATATATTCAGATAAATAAAATTATAGCCAAAATAATAGTAAATCGCAGTTATTGCACAAAATGTAGTTAAAGTTTCGAGTTTACTCAATAAGACCTAATTTACGAAGATGCTCTGGAATAACTACAGTCGAAACTCGATATAACGAACCTTCCGTTCAGGTGATTTTGCATCGTTATATCAAGTATTCGGTAAGACAAATATTCTTGTTATGCCAAACTTACTATGTAAAATTTTTATAATTCAGTTTATCAATTTTTTTTGCAATATATGCTTTATTTATTAACAGAAAATATACTATTATGCATTATATTATGTTTTTGATAAAATGCAGATTCAGATTTAAATTTTAAGACTTTTCTCCTAATTCCCTTTAAAATCTTTAATTCATCATTGGTAATCTCATAATTTTCTGGTGGAAAATTTTGAAAAGTAATTAAATTTTCAACACTATTCAATGCATCACTTAAAGAAATATTAGAAACAAATTCATCTTTATCATTCTGTGTTTCTTTTGTATTATGTCTTGATCGCACAGTTTTAATAATTTCATCATCATCTAATAAAACCTCATCTTCACTTAATTTATCAGCATTAATATATTCCAATACAGGTAAAGTATCATCATATGATAGCTTCTGCATAGCATCATTTAAATCATTTTCAACATTACTCCTATCAAAATTAAACTCTGCGTTCACATCTAACCCATTATCTGATGGAATAATACTAGTCTTTAATCAGCAATTTTTAATTGTAGTAGGATTAATCTGATTCCATACCTCAATAACAAATTTAATACTATTACAAATATTAATAGAAACAATAGGCGTATTTAATTCTTGTAAAATATCATACTCTTCAACTCTATTTTCTACCAATAATTTTCTGTATTTGGCCTTAATTTAATAAAAAAAAATTAATAAAAATACTAAAATATAATTTTAAATATAAATTTATTATACTTACTTTAAAAGAATTAATGATTTCTTGATCCAAAGGTTATAAATATAGAGTTGTATTAGGTGGTAAATAATAAATCTCAATATTATTGAAAGAAGGCAATTCATCTTGTTTACCATGTGTTGGTGCATTATCAACCAACAATAAATTTTTTTTATAGCGCATACACATTAATCCATTTAATTTTTCAAATAATCAAACCAAATTGATTGTTGCATTCATGCAGTTTTGTTCCAATTATATTAAATAGAATTTTTAACAGCTATACTAGGCAATGGGCAAGGGTTTTTGTATTTATGAATGAATAATAGTTTAAGCTTATCTTCACCTGTAGCATTACATGTCAATAAAATAGTTACTCTAATTTTAGATTTTTTAGTTCTAGTTACAGGTCTTTATGCAAGAATTTTTGATGATTCTAATTGCCAAAATAATGCTAAAAAAATTAAATAATAAATAAATCAAAACATTTAAAAATCAAGTAATAATATTGTATATTTAATTGAAAATACCTGTCTCATCACAATTATAAATGTCTTCTAATACATATTCAGATAAATTTTCACTAATTTTTTGTCTATATTCATTAATTTCTTCTAATGAAAATTCACTGGCAGTTTCACCTGATTTAATATATGAGCGAACATTATTTCTTCTTTTAAAATTTGTCAGCCAGCCTGCAGAAGCAGTAAATCCAGTAATGCCAAATTTAATTGCAAACTGCTTAGCTTTATTTTGTATGATATCATCCCTTAATGTTTGATTTGCAACTAAAAATTGAGATATCCAAATTCTAACAGCATCATCTATTACTTTATACATAGGTTGTCTTAACCTTTTTCTTTCTAGTTTTGAGCTAAGAGCAGATAAATATTCAGATTTCCTTTTTAAAATATCACTAACTATATTAGGTTTTACATTATAATAAGCAGCAAATTCAATATTTGAAGTTTTCAAATTATCAATTTTCTTTTGACAAAGTTTTTGCTTTTAAGATACAGATAGGATAACATGCTTATTTTTATTATTTGTAGATATGTTAATGATATAAAAGAGTTATTGAAGGGGATGAGTTATCAATAAAAAATATATTTTATAGTTAATATTCATTATTTTGTTATATTTGATAAAGATTAATAAAAATCAGCATATAAAATAAAAAAATTCTTTATAACGATGATCAATATATTGAAAAAAAATTAGTATCAGTTTATCATAAATAAATACATATAGCTAGTTTATGATCTGACATTGGTATATGTAATATTGTAAAATTTATAAGAAAATCAGTATATAGTAGTAAGATTAATTATATATGGTTTTAGTTTGAGAAAAAGATCAGTATGAGCCAAAATTAGTTTATCCTGAATCATTATATTGAATTCTGACTGTATTTCTTTTTAATTCTGCGACATATATAAAAGGTATTAATATGATATCTTAAAACCACTTATACTATAATTAATATATTTACCATATTCTGTACATATATTAAATCTTATTATTTATTATAATTATATAAAAATTAATATACTAAATATTTAAAATAGTGAAACTTAGCAGGATTTTTCATTATTTTCACTTTTAAAACTTTTTGGCTAAAATAAAGAATACTTTTATCAAATCTTCTGTAAGAAAAAGCTGATATATAACTCATTTACATAAAATTGCATCACTATGTAACATTCCATTATTAAATAAAATTCAATAGAACAACTGATTTAAAATGATATTTTATATTAAGGAATATTTTTAATTTTGATCTGATTTTATAAAAGAAAATATAAAAGTGAATTATGAAACTATATAAAATACAGTATAATTATTACAATTTATATTAATTTTATTTCAATTTATGCTAAGCATCTGTTTTAGACTAAAATTTTTTTTTAATAATAGAAAAACTTGTTTTTTTATTTATTAAAACAAAGTTTGAAAATCTTATAGCTTATCTTGAATCAAATAAGATTGTTATTCATTTTAATATAGAATTTAATGAAATTATAATACACAGTTTATTCAATTCACAAGATTTTTATCCAATTTTTCAAGTTGCTTTTCAAGTTATATACAATAAATTAAAATTACATATCTTAAATCATCCTGTGCATTCTTTATTTTATGTAGTCCACCTTTCTGATCCTAAATATTTTTATATAAAAAATAATCAATAATATATTATGTATCAATATACAGTTATTAATGAATTTAATAATTCTTCAAATGATTTAATATGTGAATAGGACATTTACTATGGGTTGAAATATGTCAGAAATTTAAATAAAATGATTTAGAAACTTATTAGAATAATATGATAACTTGTTTACCAATTATTTCTCAAATAATACTTAATTATCTATATTTAGAAGCTAATTTTTCCTTAAATAATACCTTATTAGATAGTGATCAGTGTTGGAGTTGAACTCATTCCAATTAATGAATTAGATGACTTTAGGCTATTGGATAATTGGATATAGTCTAATTATGTCCAATTGTCTAATTTTCCAATTGAATGTTTATTGGAATTTTACTATGTCTAATTATTCAATTAATCAATTAAACTCACAATTGGACTTGATTCAATTAAGGATCAAATCAACTTTATTTACTAAATTAAATTCAAAATATCATTATTAGCATCTAGTTATTTGAAAAGTTTTGTCATAGGCGAAAATTAATAAATAAAATTTATATTTAGGTTTTTTACAAATTTTTAATCTATTATTTTATACATTTTAATTGGTTAATCCAATTGTTTATTTGAACTATTTGGACTATGTACAATTATCCAATAGTCCAATTAACACAACTAAATGATATATTTTTTAATCGGGGTAATTTTTTTTTTACACGTAATTTCGCAAAATTTTATAAAAAATATCACAAAATCTAAAAAAAAGAAATCACAACGCAACACAAAATTCATTTTAATCACAGACAAAATTTACTTTTATCACCACAAAAATCATCGGGGTTCATTTAAGGACTCCCGTTATGTAATGCCAATGGGATTATCAAAGATAATTTGAATCGACCAATCAAAATACTGAAATTTTAAATTTAGAACAATTTAGTTAGTCACGTGGTATTTATCTCGCTTACTCTTGTTTGTCAACGAACTCTTTTGTTTCAGCATCCAATAGCCGTGCCTTTATCCTTTTACGTGACTTGTTCATGGCTCCAAAATCACAACCAGATCGCCCTTTTTGTGCATGTTCTAAGCCTGTTCGGTTATGTTATTATGTGAAGAAGGATCACCCGAGGCATAGAGATCGATACTGGGGCTGTCCGGAGAGGTCCTGCGAACATTTTGAATGGGTAGATCCGTGCCCAAAAAAAACAACGAGTTCACAGAGCGTACAATCGAGCTATTTTACTCATAAACAAAAAAGCGGCGAACATTCTTTGAAAAGTACTTGTAATACGGTTCCAAAAAACGGGATAAATGCAAAGAATGTCTACGAAATTGAAAGCAAATATTCTTTGAATAATGATCAAGAAGTTCAAACAAGCACACAAGGCATACAGAATGTGCCTTCATCATTAGGTGCATCTTCGTCGTCAAATGTAGTTACCAATGAAAATGAGGCTTTCAATGCCCTCTTCACTTCAACTAGCATCAGTCTCGAAAAACTGTATAACATGTTACCATCAGATGGAAAGAAGTATAATTATCCCATAAAAGTTACGTTTAGTTTAGATGATGATGAGCACTTCATAGTAAGAGGATATCATCATGTCCTCAAAGAGTATTGGAGAACTCGAAGAGGTGCCAGCTACGATTCAACTAGAAGAGGATGGATCATCCCAATGACAGAATACAAAAATTCCGTCAAGGAATTGAAAGAGTACAAAAAATTACCCACGACGATCGCGGAAATCTCCGGGTATGTTGAAAAGGCGATCAAATTCAGGGCCGCAAAACCTTGTGTTGATGAATGTGAGGTTAAAGAAAGACTTGGGAGCCTCTGGGAAGCGTTACTATCTCATCAAAAGGAAGGAGTAATAGAAGCTATTTCTAGAAATGGTCGAGTTTTGCTCGGCGACGATATGGGTCTTGGAAAGACAATCCAGTCGCTTGCCATTGCGGAATACTACAAGGATGACGGGAAGGTCCTCGTTGTCTGCCCTGCATCGGTTGCCGGAAACTGGCAGGTCGAGATCAAGAAATGGGTTGGATCTAAAGATGAAGAAATATGGGTCGTAAGAAGTGGAAAGGAAGCGAATCAGGATCATGCGCGGTTTACAATCATCTCCTATGAATTGGCAAAAAAACGCCAAGATTGGATAGGACGATTCCAAATTGTGATTGCCGACGAATCGCACTCTCTCAAGGATCGTCAATCGGAACGGACGAAGAAGCTTGCCCCTCTTATGAGAAAGTCAAAGAGAGTAATCCTTCTTTCAGGTACACCGGCAGAATCAAGACCCGTAGAGCTTTTTGCTCAGATTAATATTGTTGCCCCACTTCTGTTTCCAAATTATGAACAATATATAAAGCGATTCTGTGGTGGAGAAAAGAAGGTAAATAGGGATGGAAGGGAATATATCGATACAAAAGACGCTAAAAATACGGAAGAACTTCACTGGCTCCTAAACTCGACCGTTTTGATTCGAAGGAAGAAGGAGGACGTAAACTTGAATTTACCATCAAAGACTCGACAGATAATTCACGTTGAGATTCCTGCAACGTCCAAAAGGGAGTTACGAGATTTGAAAGAAAGAGCAAAGGTAGATAGACGGGCCAACTTCCTGAAATTGTATGAGGAGTCAGGTAGGGCCAAAGTCCCAGCCATTCAAGATTATCTACTTAGTCTTAAGGATGATAACAAAAAGTATATCGTCTTTGGTCACCATAAAGACGTATTGGATCAGATTTGTTATGTCTTGCGTAAAGATGAAATCAGATTTATAAGGATTGACGGTCAAACAGATGTTAAATTGAGACAAGATTTTGTTGATAAGTTTCAAAATGAAAGAGAAATTAAGTTCGCGGTTTTGTCTCTTACTGCAGCAAGTACTGGCTTAAACCTTCAGTCTGCTGATGGTGTTATATTTGTGGAATTAAGCTGGAACCCGTCAACGATTGCACAAGGAGAAAATCGAGCACACCGTATTGGAAGGATCGGCGACGTAGAAATCAAGTATATCATTGCTAAAGACACTTTGGATTTGGTTCAATGGCAAATGTTAAAGAAAAAATCAAAGGTGCTTGGTATAATTTTCGACAATGAAGATAGCATCCCTTTGGATGAAATAAGTGAGGAAGATTATTGGATGATTGAAGGATTTGATAAAGAAATGGTAACTCAATGCGTCAATGAAATGAATATCGCTAAAGATGAAGGTATCAAAATGGATTCCGGTATCATTGTATCAGATGAAAATAAAGAAATGAAGGTCACAAATTCAATGGAAACTCGAGAAATTAATACTAAAAAGGTTGACAATAATAGCAATAAGAATCGCATTCCTCTGATGGAACCTACTACAGATTCTATTGTTATTAAATCGGGCAAGGATAATGAAATAACTGCCGCAAATCTTGTAGAAGCTCCCACCATTTTCGATATGATGGCCGATAATCTCGATTGGGATTTCGACATGGATCTAAGTTTGAATAACTTAGATGTTGAATATAATGTAGTATCTAAAATTTCGTCATTTACTTTAAAAGATGGAGGCACGAATGATAATCCAATGGGAGGTTTCCAGACAACCGCTGATGATGTTGATGATAGTGACCAAAGAGACTTGATTCAAACAGGATCTACTACAGATCCCACATTTATTGTACTTGATGACGAAAAGACAGTATATCCGGTAAAACACCTTAATTACGGTATTGATAACAAAGATTCACGAGAAGAAACTTTCAAAGATCATTCAATTATAAACATGTTGGATGATGACGACTTCACAGTAATTACAGGTCTTGCAAATGACAAAGATTCGACTTTGAAGACAAAGGTCACTGATATTAGTTTGACCGTTAATAATGTTAATGATGCCGGCAAAACTGATCGGTCATACGCAGCAAATTCATCTGAAAGACCTATTTTCAGGCAAAAATACAAGAATGAACTAGACAACCTTTTTGATCAAAGATATAGCACTGACTCCAGATCAGGTGAAATTTCATCCAAACAAGAAAATATATATGTTTCAAATGTATTACTCATTCCAGATGAATTTGCAAATGGAGCATTTAATCCCCGAAGGAATTTATTAGGTCCACGGAATAAACGTAATGCTGACGTTTATGCCGAGGAAAGTCAAGAATGTGATAAAGAGTCGAAGAAAATTCGGCTTGAAACAGATCAAGAGGCTACAAGGACACGGCAAAGGATAACAACCACCTACATTGACCCATCCCAAGTTACTGATATTCAAGTAGTGTCACAAGTTAAACGTCATCCAAGAAAGCCAAAGGTTCACATCAGAAGATTAAATAGTGATATGAAATGACGAAGACAAATTAAGATTTATAGTACCATAACTATAAAGAAAAGCGATCAAAACTAACTGCAGAACAGGAAGAAACAAAATCGAGTGAGAAATGCTGATCATTTCTAAACCTCGACGTCGCAGAAGATGTTACTAAAGGTTTAAATTTTCATAAACTATTATATTTTGAATTGGAATATACACTTATTAACTTTATTATTTTTATTTAATTAGCATTTTAAAGAATTATGTTCTTTTCAAATGATCATTCAAATAAAATGACAATGTAAATTTATTTCACATTATTGAATTAGTGATACATCTAGTAGGAATTATGTAAAGAAAAAAAAAATGATTTTTTTAATTTTAAATCAATTTTATTTTCATGTATTATCGAGAATTTTCTAGTAATGGATATTTAGAGTATTGCGACAGAATTAGTAAATGATTAATAAACAAAGGAACAATGTACAACAGCGGTTAAGCCGCGGCCGATGATATTTTTAGGAAATGGGAAAAAGATTAACCGTTTTTCCGATCCGGAATCGGAAAAATTATCATATATAGTTATGTGACATTTAATGACGGGCATAACATGCGCGGATATAAGTAGCACCGAATCATGGAGGTTGTAGCGCACGTGATTTTATCACATCATTTCGCGTTTTTGATGAAAGTATAACGATAAATTTTTTATTTTTATTCATGTATTTTTATCTTTTTACATTAAGAGAATCCGATTAAACTTGCAATTAATGACATATGATAATTCTAAAATGTTTTTATTTTTTTTATGGATTTTTTTTTTTTTTTTTTTTTTTTTTCGTTCTTTACCAAGAGAATAAGAATCTTTATTGAGACCCTCTATAAAAATCCAGTAATTGCCTAAAATTGATAGTATTCTAGAACTTATCGTTTTTAAAATGATGTGCCGCAAAAACTTTTGGATTATTATTTTTATTTTTTTTTTAATAATTATGATTTGTAGGTGTAAAATTAATGGGACCTATTTTTAAAAAAAAGAAAAATCAAAAGGAAATTCTATTTTCTTGGCCTTAATGGAGGAGGCTTGGAATTAATACACTTGTGACATTGTGACAAATAATAATATAAAAAGGATCGACAAATATAAATAAAAAATAGTCAATCAACTTATGGGAGTACAAAAATCAATTACATAATCAGGGTCAAAAAAAAAAAAAGCATAAATAAACCGGGGATTTTTAAAACTCGAAATGACAGAAAAAAAAATAAAACAATTTAAATTATAAAAAATAATTTTCTAAAGTATACAAGAAAATTCAAAAGATTAAAAAAATGAGCGAACAGCAGATTCAAGGATTATTTTCATTCAATGATATCAATGGTGATGTTGAATTTCAACCAAACCTGTTATCAATAACCAACTTTGTCGTTGATAAGACGAATTATCCAATTGTAAGCTTACCATTTCCCCCAGTAATTGAACCAAAGGATTTGATTATCAAGAAGAAATCCTTACAAGAGAATCCAGATGGTAAACCAACCAGAGCCCCCAATGCTTTTATAATTTATCGCAAAGCATATGTTAAAGCCACACGTGACCAAGGATATTCTTTACCCATGACCCTAATCTCGTCAATGGCTTCCGCATCATGGGATCGAGAGAATGTTGTGGTCAAAGAAGAATATAAGAGAATTGCCAAAGAAACTCACAAATTAATTAAAGAAATGTATCCAAAGAAATCCAATCGAAGAAAGCGTAAAGATAAATGGAACCTAGTTTCTTTTCAAGATAAATCAACCGATAATAACGAGACGAACCTACCTGAAAATAAATTCAAAAACGTGCAAAAATTAACGCAAACTTCAATGACAACTAATGTTCCAGATTTATTACTTACACCATCAACTCCAATTTCGATAGCTTCATCATCGTCATCGAGATCATCACCCAATTTATCGGATATCACGGAATCAAGTCCGATACTTCAACAACAATCAACTCCCATTCTAACAAACAATAACCAAGAGCAAATCTCTGAAGAATATTTAAACGATGAATTAAACAATGTAAATTTGCCAAATTCTTTTCAAGAATATCTTAATCAACCTATAAATGATTTTTCGGAAATGTATTCTGATTTAACATTTGATGGATTATTTGATATTTCTACAATAGACGGTTTAATAAAACGTAATAATCCTCGGTCTTCTTCTTTGGATATGACATTGGCTGAAGCTTTTGGCATTATAAATTCAGAAAATTTTGATTTAGGATTCGAATTTTAAAAGTTTATAGAATTCTCTTTTCTTGTCTTTTTTTTTTTTTTTTTAAGAACATAAAGATTGTTTTAAATATTTGTAAATAACATACAATATAGACATATAAACATTATGTATAAGTTTCATATTAAGCTGAATAAAATAAAATAAATAATTTATTTATCTGAGCATTATCCATATGTCCAAGCACAAGCGATTTAACAAGTGAATTGAAAATGATGAAATTTATGAGTATATGAATGTTTGCAACTCACGCAATCGAATTTTACGCGGACGAATTTTTACGTCAATATTAAATTCGTAATATTTTGAACATTCACAACTTAGTGTCAACGATAAAAAAAAAAAAAGTATTTATTCTCCACTTTGCCTGATCCGACATTTGATTTGTTTTTTTATTTTTTTGGTCGGTACGTACTAATTCGTTCAACGTTCAGTGCTTCGCCCATTTACCACTTGAAATTTATTTCATGGTCATTAGCGAAACACCGTCAAAAATTGCTATTTTAAATTTATAATGAAACACTTTATATGGGTCTTTTGCAATAGAATTAATAAAATTATTTTTGATTGTATACATTAAAAAAGATTTAAACTTTAGAAGGCATAAAAAGTACTATTGTTTAACCCATTTGAAATGTATTATTCATTGTTTACCTTACAAATGATTATTCAATTCATATGTAGAAATATTCCGCTGCAGTGAAACGAAAAATTGATCTTTAGATTATTTTATTTGTAATTATGTCGATCAAAACATCATGTTGCATTTTTAGAAATCCTCAATAGAAATTTCAGCGAACCAATAAAATATAAACGATCTGACCATGTTAATCCCTTCCGTTCTCCGTAATCGTGTTTTAACGACGCAGTATTTTGATTTTCTGTCACATGTATTAACACAGCCACGAATGTAAAAATAGAATATTCTTTTAGATTTGCTAATTCCTTTGCTCCAACATTTTGTAATGGATCCGAAACTATACATCTCGGAAACGGAGCTTGGCTAATAAAATTTTCTATGAGAAGAAGATGTAGTTGGTATGATAGCGTAAATCTGATAGCCATAGAAAAGAGTGGGAATTGTTGCATATTCTACTTCACAGATGCAATAGATATCAAAGAAAAAAAAAATTAATGTTAATATAATAGTTCAGATATTGAAAGTAATGTCATATATTTTCGCATGCTATACCATTTTCCATTTTGATATTCCCACAATCCCTGGGCTTTATTTTAATCAGTGTGGTGCATATGTATCAAATTATAAGAATTGCACTTCAATATGGGACTTGAAATTAAAAAATTTACATCATAATAGTTAAGAATGAACATTCATAGAATTAAAATTTTCTTTTACGCGACAGAAAAATGGTGAAAAAATATATTTTTCAGTCACCATTGTCGTAATGATAAATATGCAGGATACATAATGTTGGGTAAATGTCATGTGATAAGCAATTATTTGCCCCCAACATGATTCACGCGAGTGCATTTAGGAGCATTTATGATGTAGTCAATGTAACAATGTTTATCAATACATATCAGAACTAGGTGCACAAAGTTCAAGTATTTCGTAATGATGAGACCACAGTTGAACATATTAACCTAAAAAATATAATGATTTCACCGGGGCGATAGACAGATTCAGGAATTTCTCTCACATTTTTGCCGGAAAGATTCCGATTTTTGGTGTATGGGGGAAATTTGATTACACAGGTGACATCGTACATGACAAAGTTAGTACTATGACACATGATGGTAAGGGTTGTTATCTTAATGTTCCAAAAGGTATCAAAACTACCCGATATCATTCATTAACTGGAAACTACTAGCTGGACGGAATCTGGTGTCTTGATGGGCATGAGACATCGTGAATTTACAATCGAATGGGCCTAGTCAAACAACTTTTATGATAATAATGCTTTTTTAGGAGAGAATTTTCTCTCCGGATTCTTATTGTAAATCTTTTGGATTTTTTTTTTTATTACATTTTTTTTTTCAAAGAGAATTTTTAATAAATTTTAATTCATTACCATAATTTTTTTTATGGATTGAATAGATGTATTTTACGTATAAAGTTAATTATTTATTAAATGTACGACCATCTAAAGATTTTTTTTTAAAAAATAAATTTTTACAATAAAAATTAAAAAAATTTTTTGGTTTTTTCTTAAATTGAATCTTTGCGCGAAAGTCTTTCGTTTCGTTTGTCAGTAGCGTTATCGTTTTCGGAATATTTTCGGAATCGTTCGTTTCTATTTTTAAATAAAATAAAAATAAAGGGCGCACATGAGTAACTTTCCGTGGTTAACTACTCCCTAAGGAAGAACAGCCAGTACCAATGGGACCACTAATTTAGGTTCTGGATTTTTAGAATATTACTCAGTGAGCGCCGCCAAAGTACATCAGCAGCACATCAGCGAGGGGTTAAGAGGTTATTATATAGTCAATAATAAAGGGACGATTTGTAATAAATTACTCTGCATCGTGTTATTTTTATCAAAGCCAACGCTATTTAAAAGATTAACTTGCTTTGATATATTAAAATGACTATACAACACTTCTCCCATTAACAGTTCTACCCGTATCAATAATGGACTTTTCCCGCGTCTACCTTAAATTTTGGATCTTGAAGCGAAAAGCCCTTCGTTTCGTTGTCGGTAGCGTTAGCGTTATCGAAGAAGTCCTTCCGTTTCGTTTGTAAGAAGCGTAGCGTTATCGGAAAAATTATTCTTAAAGTTAATAAAGACTTTTATTGCGTTCCTTCGGAAGCTAAAATTAGCGAAATAGTATTTTGGCAGAACTGTTTTTTGTTAGTTTTCTTTTAAGAAAAGTAAAAGAAAAGAAAGAAATGTTCTCACGTTGGGACACATTTTTATATATGCAACGATGGAATATTTTAGAACAAACTTATGTATCATCTGTCAACCTTCCAAATTAGGACAAAATGTTATTGATTCATATCCTCATATAGTAAATAAACAATTGGTTTGGAAGTTCTTTTAACAATGACGATCACCACCCGGCAAAACGTCATAGCACCTCACATATATAATTTCTTATGGTTTATACGTAGTTTCATAATGTTATCATCTTTTTGAAATTTAACTAAGAATAAAGATTTCAGGCCAGATATTTGGCGCAGCAAGCACGTGAAGAACACGAGTACAAAATGATAAAATTATTTTAATTATTTTTAAAGAATAAAAACACCAGGAGACGTCAATGGAGGCAATGGATCAGGTGATGTTGGAAGTCAAAGTAACGTTTTATGTGTTCATTAGATATATTGAGTAAGCGAGTTATAGAAAAATGTCATTATACATAACATTATATACTAATACTTTGTATAATTTCTATTTGCTATTTTACACATTACCCCGGGTTGGTGTGTGTAACTGTTCGTATACGTCACATAGATCACATGATATAATGTTTATAAGTGACGCGTGATGCATACTCTGAAAAACGCGACTCTTTCTGTCAAGCTTCTTTGAATATGTCTACTTATTCTAGAGGAGGAATCAATTAATAAAGTCAAACCTTTTTTGGGTGACAGATTGACATTATGTTCAGTAAGCAACCGTTTGTCCACAGTCTCTTAACGAACTGAAACGATTTGATTCGTTCGTAAGACCTGCATCAGGGTCTCTCGGACTCGGACTTGAAGTAATTACCAGGTCAGCGCATTTTTTCATGTCGGCAAAAAAAATAAAATTCCTTTTCTCTAGCATCAGAACTTTACTATTATCCGAGCCTAAACAAAAACCATTCAAATAAAGAAACCCGGAATAGAAATAAACCGAATTAATATTAACTATGTTGTTCATATTATTAATTTATATATTATGTATACAGAGAGAGAGAAACACAAGAAACGAAAATTGTTAGTTGTGACTTCCTCAAGATGGTCAATTATGAAGTTAGGGAGGAGCTTTTTCCTGAGGAAAAGGTGACAAAGAATGCACTTCAGAAGAAAACAGAAAAGACACGAAAAACTTTCAGTAATCATTTGGAAGCACTTTCTAATGAATTAATACTACGACTACCGCTTCTAGTCTTTCCTGGAGGATCAACTCTCTATTAGAGTTATTAGTGATTCAGGTTTAGTCTGGAATCTTCCACCGAAAATACAAAATACTTCCTAGTAAGTACTTTGTATTGATCTCAGTGTTTGATTCTCGTTCAATACCAGAAAAAAGATCTTCTTCGAACAACAACAATCTTCAAAGTCTAGAAATCACTTCAGCAGAGGATCTAGCCTTTGACCCCGCGGACATTATTTTTAATACGATGCAAGAAGAGCCGTTTATAAATCTAAAGGCTCTTCATCCACATCTAGTCGCAAGACTGCACATCTTTTATCAAGCCAAATTATGGCTTAATAAAAAATATAAAACAAAAGGATTACCCGTTCCCAAATCTTTATTATTAGAAGAAGATCAGCAGCAAGCTGATGGAAATCGAAGAAAACAAAATAAAAGAAAATTAGATATACTGTATATTTTATGTTTTTACATATAGATTTATTACACGTGAATGTTGATGTTGAATTTGGGTTCGGTGAACAGAAATATTTCTATTTTTGGCACAATATTCTAAAAGGTCAATTTCGCTGGACTTTCCGATCTACTCTAGGCGTGCTACATAGTGCTTGTCCGATAAATATAAATAAAAAATCTCTACGTAATTCGCTTCGCGATGTGTTAAACAAGATCAAGCATTCCGCGAGAAATCCGCGACCAATATGAAATTATATAGTTGGTTAAATTCATTGTTTGAAACAGCAAAATTAAGTAAAACAAGGTATGACGTTGGACGATACTCAATTACAAATAGAGAAACTCCTCCGCCAGTGCAAAAAGAATTTTCTTTCTCAATTTATGAACAAGGAGTTGTAAAGACTTTCTATAACATAATCGAAATTGAACTTTACATGTTCCTTGTTGACAACGAGAGCATCACCCCGCCAAGACTGTGGAAGCCTTTACCGCAAGACAATGAACACAGACTTCGGAAATGCAGATACTCTTTGCATGCTAAATTTCATTATTGAGAAACAGAGATAATTTTACGAAGAAATCTGCATACCTCGGTAAGAACGATGCAATTCCCGTCGAACTTTTTCAATTATATGAAGTTCGGCACAAAATAGCGCATGATATTGTGACTACCTCAGCGCAACCTTCACGAAATGTCACGAAATGGCCAAGTCCTTGAAAATACTGATAAAAAAAAATATGTCACGAAGGATCTTAACCTACACCCGTTAAGGAGCAGGGGAAAATCTCGGTGGAGTATGTGAGGTCGTTGAATGTCTCGGTAAGTAGTTTATTAAATAATCTACTTCAAATAGAAAAGTGAAACATTAATTTTTTTTCTGTTTAACATCAGGTGGAAATTACGAAGACGTATACATGGAAAGAGAGAAGATCAATAAAGAAATCACACGGGGATTGATGACCTACCGCCAAATAGAAAGCTTTACAATACTGCTACGAATAACAGTATAGCAGATTCAGAAAGTACGAGCAGGAGAATGGGAAAAACGCGAAAAAATACATCAGGAATAAGCTGATTTCATTTTGTAAAATAGAAGAGTTACTAAATTAATCTTTAATTAAGCGGTGACATTTTTGTGTCGCTCAGCATAGACAATATATGGGGCTTCGTCAATAGAAACACACCATCTTACTTAATAATTTATTATGTTATAAGATGTGTTTCTATTGACGAAGCCTCATTATAATCCCTTCACGAACGCTTTGGACTAAAAATAAAATATTTATTTTAAATATAACGACTATTTTCTTTTTGTATGTTGTAAATTGTAAGAGGATTGCCAGGCTTACTTACGTACAATGCAAAGACGTAAAATAATTGATAGATCATTGGGACGTAAAAAACAAAAGCATTAATAAACCATAATTTCATATACTACCTCTTCTTGAAACTTGAAACACATGACTAGGAGCAGAATAATGCCACTTCACGAACAGCCTTAGCGTCACCCGTAAAAATGGTAGCCGGATTTTATTTGCCGGATCACATATACTTATTGAGGGTGACATATAATTGTGACAATTAGCATTTTTCTCACAAAGAAATTTCTCTGTCCTCAGAATACTTAGTAAATTGAAGAACGGCAGGGATGTGACACGATGTGACAAATTTGCTAACCTCTTAACTAATCCTAATTCTACCCTAATCCTAATCCTAATCCAAACTCTAACTCTAATACTAACCCTAATAATAAATACCCGGAAAATAAATTCCGGCTACTAATTTTTTACGGGTGACGCTATGTTTGTCCCACTTTACGCGAAATTTCTGTCATTTAAATCCAAACGTGAATCTTTTCGCTTATCAAAAACCCGGAAATGTTATATAAATGCGGAAAGTAACACCTATCGCAATAGTTCTTTAATTAATATTTATAAATTCTAAATTATCCTTTGAGCGCGCATAAATTTATAAACTCCCGCACATGATTATTTCGCACGTTAGTGATCATTTGAAAATTTTATTCATGTTGATAGTGCAGGCCGGTATCAAATCGGACTTTTTTTAAGAGGAGGCATTATTAACAGCTTTTCTTTTTAATAAAAAAAAAAAAAAATTGACTAGTTTCAAAAAATTTGACTACTAAAATGTTTTGAAAAAGTTTCGTTTTAAAATTTTTTTTTTTTAAAAAAAAAAAACTTGATTCAAGAATAAATTTAGAAATTCCCGCCGTGGCTCGGCTACCCGTAAATAACTATTACATTCATTACGTATATTTTATCAATTCCATTTTCCAAATTTATAAAATAGTAATTTAACAAAGTTTTTAATTTATTAATTTATTTATTTTTCAAAATGCCAAATTTTTTTCGATGAGAAAGTGACGAAGGGAATATATTTTCAAGACAAGATAGTAAAGGCGTAAAATTGATGATCGGGTGAGGAATTTTTTTTTTTAAAGATTAGAAAATCAAAACTAAAATAAAGTACATGCAAGGAATTTAGAACTGAAATATATACAATGACAAAAAAAGGGGGGGGGAGAAAAAAAGTACAAGAGAAAAAGAAAAATAAGGAAGAATAGGAACTCAGAGATAACGACATAATCTACTTCTAACAAATTCTACATAAATTCAAAAAGTCGCGGAAATTCAAAACTCGAAATTAAAAAGTTTTAAAAAAAAATAAGAAAATTTTAAAAAAAAAGTCATCATATTGGTACCAAACCATCATAACTTGGACTACCGAAACTACGACTACCTTGTCTAAATTCACCAAGAAAATCGACCACTGTATCACAAATAACCGTTATATAACTCCAAAAAGACGGTTCTACACCAAATGTGCCGTGTACAATCGCTTCATAAGGTTCTAAATAATGATAATTCCTGTATTTGATTCTAAATTGCAAATGAAGAATTAAAAATCGGTAAAATTTATTTATTATAAAAGAGGAAATTCCCCTTTTAAAAACTTACTTCAAGATGAGCCCGAGTATTAATAATTCAATCAATATAATAACGCTTAAGAACCAAATCCAATTAATTCTACAATATAACTTTTCATAGGATTGGTAAAATGATTGAAGAGGCTGTATAATCATTTCAATCAAGAGCATTAATTTATTCCATATTATTGAAAATAAAATTGCTAGTAATGTTTTGAATGTGGTGGTTTCTGTCTGCTGCTGCTGCTGTTGTTGTTGTTGTTGTTGTGACGCATCATCTTGCATCGACTACATTAACGAAAAAAAATCTTATTTTTTTATTTTGAAAAAAAAAAAAAAAAAGTTAATGAATAATTACCTTTGCGTTGACGTTAAGTGATTTTGCCTTTGTTTTTTCCATTAATTTAAAAATATTATCGCGAACTTTCGAAGTGTCCCGATCTATATCGTCAGATACTCGAGCTTTTGATCCAAATTGTACCAAAAGTTTTTTCAATTCTTTCTATTTTATCAAAAAAAAAAAATAATAATAATAAAAAATAAATTATAAAGGAAACCAAAGTAAGAAAATTAAATTTGGGGGTGAAAAGACCGAGGAATTTTACCTCCGAACGTTCGAATTCGGCTTTTTGTTTATCACGTTCCAAATCAGGTTTTTTTTTATGTAGAGAACGGTTACTTCTTTTTTGTTTTTCTGGTTCAAAAGATGACAGCTAATCGAAAGCGATAAAGGAAACGAAAAAAAAATAAAGTCGATTCGAATTCAGAAATTTTGAAGGATAAAAAATTATTACAGGCTTATATAAAAAAAATCATGTATTATATGTTAGTGAACATTACAAAGATTTTTACCTTTTCCATCTTTTGTTCCTTAAAATTATTTGTTTTCGAATGGAATTTATCTCTGTTTGATTTTTCCATTGTAATTTTTTGAATGATCTCTTGATGACAATGTATTATTGTTTTATCGAAAATGTTTAAAACAAAGCAATTTATCCGGCTTTTTTTTTTTTTTTTTTTTTAAAAAAAAAAAATTCTAGTTGAAAACTTGTATTATTAATTTTTTTTTTTTTTTTTTTTTTCTCGAAGTTAGTTCTTTAAATAAAAATTCTAAGAATCTAAGATAATATTTTATTGTTGTAATATAATACAAAAAGAAACCGATTATTAAAAACTAAATGGTCTGTCAAGTGTGTTTATCGAATACAAAAAATGTCAGTTTTTATTGTTTATTGTCAAAAAAAAAAAAAAAAAAAAAAAAAGAGAAATTTTAAATATTTATTTATTTTTTTTTTTTTTTTTGATGAGCGGGGGGTGCGGTTTGTGGAGTTTTTATAATTGTGACTCAAAACTTTCAACTTTAAATTATTCTTGTTAATAAAAAAAATAAAATAAAAAAACGCCTACTGGAAGTTAAACTAGTTTTTTTTTTTTTTTTGCAATCCTTCTTTGTCGTACGGGATAAAATTCACAATATTCACAATATAAATGAACCCGAACTTTTTAATGATACAAGTGATAAACTTTAATAAAAGATATATAATATAGAGTATTGTTTAAAGTGATACAGAATTTAGTTGTGATCAGATCATAGTGATACATTTCTTTTACTTGGTGTTTTTCAAAATATGTGGTAAAATAAAATGGGAGATCCGAAAAATTTTTATAAATCAAAAGGTAACACTTGTAAACAATAAGGAAAACATTTATTCAGAGGAAAAAAATACACGAGACCTACTTGATTCCGAAATGTGGTAACACATGATTTCATTCTTTTCAAAAGGTTATACAATACGATACTCTTCAATACTATCGGCACTGACTATTTTATCATCGTAGTGCATATATAAAGGAGAGAGAGGTGCGGAAACCTTCACGTGTTAGAGGAAAGATAACCACAATAATTGACCTTTGATCACAAACGTTGTTCTTTTGTCTGTGAATCCGTTGGTCTTTTTGAAACAACACATTAAACCAAAAGGATTTTTGGGCGCGGGCAGTGTCCATTATTAGATTTTCCGATTGAGGATAAAAAAACATGATATCGTATTCAAACATATTTGTATAATAAAAACGCCCTTCCCTTTCTTTAAAATTTCGTTGTTCAATCAGTCTCTCTTTGTTCGTAAGTTAATGGTGTTATGTTAAATGATTTATAAAATAAGTGAATGAAAGGGGGGATACCAAAAATTTCAAGAATTTTAACCTGAAGATTAAACGATGACGAACCTTTGCATAATTAATATAATTAAAACAATTGATGAACTGATATAGTTACATTAAAACTTTTAGGTTTATTCCGAAAGGACCTTTTTTTTAATAAACCTTTTTTTTTATACAGCTTTATTTACATGGATGGCTCATGGCAAAATAGATGATTTCGTTTTATACCTATCAAAATCACTTTTTTGTGGGGAAAAAAAAAAATCAATTTTATAAATAAGTAATAGTCCCGGGAATGATTATGTTACAATTTTTTGACAGAATTTTTTTTTTGTGTGCATAATTCATTCATAATTCATTCATTCTAGGTAAAGATTCTCGGAACATCATCAATTTTTTTTTAATGGAGGAACAACGTTGCACGGTCTTTTTAATCAATTTGTGTACTTGTTAAATTTTTTATTTTAGATTATCAAAAAATTATCTAATTGATTTTTTTTTTTCACAAAGAACATCTTTTTTCAAAAAAAAAAAAAAAAAGAACAAAAGAATGTAACTTGGAACCTTTTTTTAAAAAAAATTGCTAAAAATAAATCGATTTCTTGAATAAAAGAATTTTAATTAAACTCGATTTCGAAGATGATGTGTTTCGGTCCTTGACCAAAAAAAAAACTCGTTTTTTCGTGATCAACCGGGATCGAATTTGGTTTAATTTGGTAATCCTAGTAAGTCAAATTCCAGTTCATTACAAGTTATCCTCCTGATAATATCACGTGGAAGTCCGTCCACAGAGAATTTCATCAAAGCGGTACCAAAACTGGTTGTATTTCTTGGTTTGAGCATTTCGCAATTTCTCGTGTACAAGTACATCTTTTTTTTTTTGAATTGGAAATTGAAACCTGAATTTGGTATTATTAAATTAAATAATTCAACAGTAAAAAGTGATCAGTATAAATCCCCAAATATTATAAGTGTAACACGTGATTCACCGTTCCATCCTTCCGAGAAAGAAGTTAAGATGTATGTTAGGGAAGAAGCCGAGAAAAATCACATCATTTATTTGAAAAAACCTTGTTTAGAAGTGATAATTGATATGTTTGTAAGCTCACGTTTTAATGAAATTTATTTAATTTATTTCCCGATTATATTATACGTTATTAAAAAAAATAAAATAAAACAAACCGATCCTTTTTTTATCGTCCACAAAATAAAAAAAAATTCTTTGTATGCAAGGATCCCGCCAAAAATTAATATAATAAATAATTTTTTTTTTTTTGTAATTCATTGATCGAATCTAAACTTTAACTCGAGCTTCTTAAAGTTAAAATCTCAATAAAGAAAAAATTAATTAATTAATTAATCTATTTATGGTTATCCTTCTATATTTTTTTTTTGTTTTGTTTGATAAAGTTTTGATTTCGTAATTGCGATCAAAAACGTCAATTCTCAATGAGCTGGTCAATGCGTTGTTAATAAGCTATCAATGCTTGATGATGATTAACAATTTGGATAGATAGAAAAAGGAAACTAAGAACGCGTCTGATTTTTTAATATAGAAACGTGGCGAATTTAAAGTTTAATATTGTGAAATGTTTAAATTCAAAATTATTAATAAAAGATATTTTTTTTGTAATATTTTAGATATAAAATTAATTTGATTCTTCCATTAGAATGTTATTTATCAGATAAATTTAACAAATAAAAATTAATGAAAGGGTTTATGTTCCAAGAAAAAAAAAAAGGCATTGAAAGAAGGCACAGGTGTATGTAAGAATAGTATCAATAAATAAAATTAAGGTGATTTCAATCCTAACTTATTACACGCTTATGATTATTCACGAAACATTTCTCGATTTCCCTCTTCTCGAGATTTGTCCTTTCCGAACCTTAAGGAATTATTGCACGTTAAATTTTCACGAAATAATTTAAATTTGTAGAAAAAACAAATACTAATCTAAAAAAAAAAAATACTTCATTTACAATAATGATTATAAAGATTATTTTTACATTTTTTAAAAAAAATTAAATAAAATGATTTGTAATAATACAAATACAAGTAAGTTAAAATCAATAATAACCGCTAATTTATGATAATTTGTTTATGTAAGAATTGAAAGAAATTTTCGTTCGTTATTTGAATGAATTAACTGAATAACAAATATCCTGTTTTTTTTTAAAAAAAAAAATAAAAAAAAAACCATTATTAAAGATCATTTATCAAGATTATTTTATGAAATAATAATACTTACATCCGTTTTAACCTTGGAACAATAAATTTCAGGGCATCTTGCTGCACTTTTAATATTGGCACATTGAAACTACATTTATTTGATTTTTAAAATTTTTTTTTTTTTTTTTTTTAGAAATTACTTTAAAAAAAAAGCCAATTAAAAATCATGAAATGATTTCGTACCTCTTCGGGTTTACAATCGGGAACAACATTTAAACAATGATTATCTCCACCAAAATTTGATCCCGAATCTCCAATCCCCTGCATGATGCTTACGAGTATCACAACTATTTTTTTTTTTTTAGGTTAGTAAGTAAAAGAAAAAATAAAAAAAAAAAAAAAAAAAAAAATTATTCAGGTAATTAATTAATTACTCACCAACAATCAAAGCGAAATATAAGAACCAAAATAAAGCAAACCAAAATTTCCAAGTAGGATTCCCGTTATGAAAAAATGTCATTCCCCATAATTGTTCTAAAGAAGTGATACCCGTAAGTCCTCTTTCTTCAGCTTTTATTTCATGATTCACAAAAGGAGTTGTCTTTCCTTGAGGTATTTGAGATTTTTGAGGAGGTACTGGAGCGTTTACTACATATTCGGAAGGAATTTGCGGTAGGTCTCGAAACTGTTGTATTTCAATAACTTGTTGAGGCTGTTGTTGTTGGTATATTGGTTCAGCATCGTATAATTGTGAAGTTACTATGTACTGGTTTGTAGAAGATTCTCGATTATTAATAATTGGAGATTCTTGATGATAATATTGACCAGTGTTAAATTGTTGATTACTATTATCCATTAATAAATGTTTTCTTTTTTAATAAGAATAAATGTTAATATTATAAACTAAAAAAAAAAAAAAAAAAAAAAAAAAAAAAAAAAAAAATTTAAAAAAAAAATTTTGAATGTAAGAATAAAAAATAAGAAAAAGCAATCATTTATGAGGTACACAAAAGGAAATGTTTAATGATCACATGATTTACGTGAAATATAATTTATTTAATCTTTTTATGGTAAAATAATAATGTGGCGAAAAGAATGTTTTGTATGTTAGTTACATAAGCACACAATAAGAAATTGATTATCCATTAATAATTATACAAGATTTAAACACGAAATATTAAATAAGTTACATATAACCTTACATCCTCGCTAATAAAAAAAAAAAGGAGATTAATAACTTCTTTTTTTTTTTTTTTAAGCAAAAAATAATAATAATGGTGTTGAAGAGTTACCAATAATAGTTGCAACCCAAAGGAGAATGCAAATAAATATAAAAAAGATATACCAAAATTTCCAAGTAGGTCTACCATCATGAATTAAAGGCAAATTCCAAATTTGCTCCAGACTGGTAAGTTGGGTAAAAGTCCTATCGATTGATGGGATCGAATGATCAACTTGACCTTTTTCCGTGGTATTTATTGGTGGTGATAACGTTCCATGTACAATCACGAAATTTGGTGAATTAATGCTATTGTCCGTATGGATAGATTGATTTTGTTCGGAAACAATTTGTTGATTTGTTTGTTGAAGATTAATTTGTTGAGGGTTGACTTGCTGATGATTGATATGTCGAAGGCTATTAGGATCAATTATTTGTTGATTAAAATTAATTTGTTGAGGATTAATTTGTGGATTGATTGGATTGATTTGTTGATTTTGTTGAGCTACTTGTGGTGGAATCACCGAGGATGTGTTATAAATTGGTGATTGACTTTCAAGAGGAACATTTCTGGAAGGATAATAATTATAATTATCAATGCTCAGCTGACTTGCTTGAAATATTTGATGTTCTTTAGATAAAGCTGGATTTCCATTCTGCGAATACATGTTTTGAAGAGGAATTTGTTGGTGAAATGATTGTGAAGGACTATTTTGTTGTTGAGGAATATTACCGTCTTGACCAACGTAATCGTTTTTCATCTTGCCAAATTCAACTTTTTTTTTTAATTAATTCAATAATTCAGCAGAAACAAATTTTTTTACCGGAAAATTGCTTGAATTCATCGAATTTATATGTTAAACGTAATTATTCTGAGTAATGAATCATACCTATCGAATGCTTTGTTCACGTCTTGCAATCACTTTATTAAGACAACAAATATTTATTAATTTCGAAAAAATGATTACCCTTTGTTTCAAATATTTTAATCTCTTATTAACCAAATAAAGAGATTTCTTGTTCTGAATATATTTTATCAATTGGGTTCATAATTAAATTTTTATTTTTGCTAACTGTTCCGCGGTAAAACTTTCTGGTATCCAAAGCTTTTATAATATCTCGCTTTGAAACAAACAATCTTTCAGCTGTAAGGCTTTTTTTAACTATTCAAAGTCACTATGGCTTAATCAATTGGGGAAGAAGAATTGTTGAGAAGATTCTTCAACAATTCGGCTTTTTTTATGTAGTATCAAGTGACATACATCTATGATCACTTCATCCTGCCATCAGCTTCAAATTGCAAACGGCAACTGGATATCTCACTGAAGAGCTACTTCATTTTTATTTTATTATTTATTTTATTTTATTTTTATTTTTTATATTTATTTTTAATTTTTAATTCATATTTATACATTCGATTGTGTTCATCCAAAATTTACTAGCGCCCCAAGATTTCTGGCCTAAATTAAATAGAGTTTGTTGGGATTAGATCTACCGATTTATCTGATCAGTTTTTTTGTTTTTTTAAAAAAAAAAATATATATATATCGAAATACTTTTTTTAATTATGACCAACAAAACTAGTAGAAAAGTAAGAAACAAATCTCTAAAGACTGAGCCAAAACTTTCGACGAAGCCTTTCAAAAATAAAACAAAAAATCTCAAGAAAGAACAGGTTTTTTTTTCTTTTGATTTCAATGCTTAAGTCCTAATAACATAGTATGATATTATTCTTATAGTTTTTTTTTTTTTTTTTGTAATATTTGTTTTTTTAGGTGAAGGTCTCAAAGATTTTACCAATTGTTAATGATATTAATGAAGATGAAATCGAATTGTCCGAACAAGATGTAGAATTTTTCAAAGAACACGATCAATTTACGAAATTTTTAAAAGATATTGATAAAGTTGCATTACACAAGTAAATTATCTAAATTTACTAAATAATTTATCCGTCGTTGATATATTAATCTCTAGGTTCTCTTTTTGATCTAGGAACGAAATCATCAATATCAAAAAATCATCTGTTAAAGCCGTGAAAAATGATAAAACTGATCAAGATTCTTTACCGTCGTTGACTTCTTCCGATGAGGAAGGTGATGATGAAATGATAATAGTAGGAGATTTGAATCAAGAGAAAATGTATATTTCTTCAGATTCGGATATAGAACAAGAATATGAAAGGACTCCACGTCTTAATAAATCTTGGATACATAAAGAATCAACAAAGCTTCCAATTAAGTTGCCCGACGGAAAAATAAAACAAAAAGAAGTCGTAATATGTAAGCATTCATAATTAAATTCTCATTATTTGCTTTTGGGAACTTAATTAATGTTACAAATCCCCTAAAAGGTGAAGAAGAGAGAACCCTTTCTATGAACGTTGATAAAAACGAACCTTCCATTAACGACATTGACGAACCGAACGACCTTGATACTAATGATAAAAAGTCACAGGTCTCAGAACCTATGTTAAGCATAAATATTCCACTTAAAGAATATATTAATCAAAAGAAGGAACAATTGGCGGAAATAGCTCAACGTATAGTCGAAGATCCGGAGAATAATGTAATGAATGCGTTTGTTAATTCTTTTTTTTTTCGATTTGAAGTTGTAAACTAAAATGAATGTTTAATTCCCTAGATCGGACAACTAAAAGACTTACGTGAAATTGCTACTGATAAGAATTTAACTGTAAAAAAGTTGGCAATATTATCTCAGTTTGTGGTATATAAAGATATAATACCCGGGTACCGGATACGACAATTGACAGACAGAGAAAGACCGGCACAGGTGATTAAAATTTTCGCAAACTGTATTTTTTTTTTTTTGATAACAGCTTTTTTACCAAGTAAATTATTTATAAAATGTAAGGTTTCCAAAGAAGTTAAGAAAATAAGAAATTATGAACAGGGCTTGTTGAGTAATTATCAAGCTTATTTGAAGTTTCTCGAAAGCGAATTAAGAGGTGTGAGTTTTTTTTTGCAATGTTATTCGCTATGAATTTATGATTGTTTTGGGTTTAAATTTTAAATTCTAAATTCATTTATTCTTGAAGTCGAGACAAAAAGAACCTTTAACTAAAGAGGAAGAGAAATCCGTTGCAGATGAAGCGTTACAATGCATGTGTGGCCTTTTAACTTCTGTTACTCATTTCAACTTTCGGTTGAATTTGATGACGGCAATTGTTACGAGAATGAGTACTCGCAAATTTACAAAGGTTTTTTTTTTTGTTTTAATTAAACATTATGGTATTACGCGTTCTTTCTTATTTACAAAACATTTTTATCGCGATAGATGACGGCCATGTGTTGTGATGCTATAATTGAAGTATTTAAGAATGATGAATCTGGTGAAGCAAGCTTAGATGCTGTAAAATTAATCACAATGATGATTAAGTCTAAAAGTTATGTGGTTCATGAAGAGGTTCTTAATACTTTTTTACACCTTCGATTAAGAGACGAGCTTAATATAAAAAAATTACATGAAGATGAAGCTCATTCCAATAAAAAAAGAAAATGGAAAAAAGAGCCTAAAAAACATTTGTCAAGAAAAATGAGAAAGTTGGAAAAGGAAAGAAAAGAGATTGAAAACGAGATGAAGGAAGCCGAGGCCGTTGTGGATTATGAAGAAAAAGAGAAAAGAGTTAGTGCCGAAAAAAAGAAAATGTTATAAGGATTTATTTTTTTTTAAAAAAAAAAAATAACTGAAATAAGCATTATTTAAATTTTATTGATAGCATACAGAAACGTTGAAATTGGTGTTTATAACGTATTTTCGTATTTTAAAACATGCCAATAAATCACCACTACTTCTTTCTGTATTGGAAGGGTTGTCCAAGTATGTTGGATAAATTTTTTTTTCTTTTTTTTTTTTTTGGTCGGTGGCAAATGATAAGAAATGGTTAAATTATCAATATTAAATTTCTTAAAGGTTCGCCCATCTTATCAACGTTGATTTCTTTAACGATTTGTTAGAATTGCTGAAAAGGATTATGGCTGATGAAATCAAGGTGGAGGACTCAGATCCGGAAGACAGTAATACCAAAAGTTCTATATCTCGAATTAATACACGAAAAGGTTTATTATGTATAATAACTGCATTTCAGTTGCTTTCCGGTCAAGGTAATAACTTTATTTAATGAAAAGTCACACAAAGGAATTTCAGTAACCTCAATAATTTGTGATAGGGGAAGCTCTCAATATCGACCTGAAAGATTTTTATACACAAATGTATACAATTATAATGCCCCTTGCTTTGAATCCATACATGGAAAAAAGTGAACTTGAACAATTAAAAGCTGATGAGGGTAAAGTTAGCAATGCTACATATATAGCAACCGAACAAGAGTTGCTAATGAAAGGAATTGATTTTATACTTTTCAAGCGAAAACAGGTAATTTGTATTTTCAAAGGTTATACTTTGCGATATTGATCCGGAAATAAACAAAACTAATTTGCTTTTATGATTAACAAATAGATTCCAACTGATAGATCGGCCGCATTTTTGAAACGATTATCAATTGCTTGTATGAATTGGCCAAGTAAAACAGTTCTGAAATGTTTAACCACGATGAAAAAAATGATTCAGGTGAAAAATATATATATATATTTTTTATATTTACATATTTGTGGCATTCTTTTCTTAAAGGGAGAATTTCAATTGACTTTTTTACTTTAATAGAGACAATCACGATTAGATGCACTATTATCATCAGATGATAGAGCTGTTAATGGAATTTATCGACCTGACTTAAATGACCCCGAATTATGTAATCCTTTTGCAACAAGTTTATGGGAATTGAATTTATTACAGGTAACAAATAATATAATGTTTAATTTTTTTTACATAATAAAAAAAGTTTATTGACGCGTTTACTTTATTATAGAAACATTATGATCCCAAAATTCGGACTGCAGCAGTTCAATTAGCAACTTTTGAATCAAATGTTGTAAAATCAGTTAATTAAGTTTGTCAAAGATTTCTTTAATTTATAAAATGAGATGCTTTCATTTCAGAAATCATAAAATAAGAGCGATTTCTACACGATTTTACTTTTAATATTTCAATAAATTAATTCTTTTGAAAAAACAAAATTTTTATTTGAATTACATTTCTTTTTCATGGTAACCGAATTTACTGCGGAACACGTGATAGACGCGTTTCACTTGATGTTTAAATTTGTCAAATACATACGATTCGATATCCCATTCTTTACAACCTACAAAAGAGAAATGAAAAGAACAGCTTCCAGTAGTTCCATTAGTAGTAATAAACAGATAGATAAAAGAGAGAAACTTTCCCGGTTACAACGCGTCAAAAATGAGAATGAAGTCTTGAATTCAACTATAAGCAGACATGCCAGTGCATTAGGAGAAATGGATGAGGTCTCTACGCGCGACAATAGTTCTTATATTTTTTTTATTCCCGGTTCAAATGTTATTTCGTCACTTCAAGAAATTAATAAGTTGATATATAAAGAAAGGGAGAGTCTCATAACCCTTTATAAGCTAGAGTTTATAGAGTCACGACTGTTCCCTCTAGTACTTTTAAACAGTCGTCTTGAAGATTGTTCACAAAGGGAAATTTTACGATTATGCGGTAAAATCAAAGGATAATTTCAATCTTTGGTTTAATTGAAATTGTATTATGAATTTAAAATTCTCTTTCTTTTTTAAAGTTGAGTTGTTGACTCGAATGACCAAAAATTACTCATCGGATAAGAATCACAAGGATTTGCCTTTTATGAAGATAAATTCCGCTTACAAGGAATTATTCGTATTAAATCCTTCAGTGATTCGTAACATTCGTATTATGTTACAATGGCATTTGAATTTGGTTAATAGGGGTAACGAGGATAAGAAGTTTATTCATTTGCTGCTTCTAACGTGTCGTAATCTCCTAGCGATAAAAGATTCTCCTGGTTCTGGAAATCTTACTGTTAATGAAAAATTAAAGACTCATTTTGATTTGATCGTTCAATTTTACAATGAGAACCTGATTGAACTCTTTACAACTATGGCAAGTGATAAAGATGACGTTCTTTGGCATACGCTTGTCTTTGAGATTTTCTACCATATTCTTGAGCATAATGGTCCCGAGGATCTATTTATAGATTCTAAAATGGTATATTAAATGCTTATGTTTAGATCACCGTCAATAGTTTCGATTTTTTTTTTTTTTAAAATTAATTATATGACTTATAGGAAGCATCATCTAAAGGGGTTAAACTAATGGAACAAGTGAAGAGTAGACAGGAAGAAATACGTAAAAAATTTTCTAAAGTTTGTCCAAAGATCTGGATGGACACTAAAAAAGGTTATGAGAAACCTGTAGATATTCGACAAGCTTGGGAAGGTATTCCAAAATTTGGTTTGAGGGAAAAGGTTGATAATGAGCAAAGGATTTTGGTAACATCTAATATTCCTTAATCTATATAATAATATTTTTTTTATAATCTAACTTTTGATTGTAATTATAAGGCCGAACCTGTTAATAAGAAAAAACGCATCGCACTTGATGATCCAATTCGGAAATGCATTAAATTAACTTCACTAAAGATTATTAAAAGCAGCGCGTTTGAAGGTATTTATCTAACGCGAAATGATAATAACCGATAACAACCAATAACATATACATTAAATGTCTTTATTATTTATCGTTTTGTTATAGTTCTCATCAGCACGATTCAGAAAGAAATGAATGCTAAAATTGACAAGCATGATATAAATAAACACATTAGTCATTATTTATATTTAGTTGATTATACTTTAAAATTTAGGATACGGTTGGTTTCAGAGAGCTCATCATCTTTAAAAGATGAAGTCTTATTATCAAGTGTAAATGAGATATCTGATATTTCTCATGTGCGACCCGCCGTAACCATCGAAACGTTCGAATGGATGTTTTCTTTGTTAGTAAAACGCGAAGATAATGAGGTTTATATAAATTAAAATCAATCCTTTTTTATTTCCTTTTTTAAAAAACAAAATTAAATTCTTTTTTTTTTTTTTTTTTATTAGAGTTCGGGTCAAATTTTACAATACGCGTTCAAATGCTTAAAGAACATGTTGTCGACAATAAAACAAGTTACACTGAATGAGTCAAATCGTGAAACTGTTTTGTCTATATTAAAATACATTTATGACAACGAAAATTATGCGGACCGTATTCTTGATCTTCTTAAGGATATAGAAAGCCTTGCTTTCAAGGAACAAGAGGCATTGATTTCCGTTGTTCATTCATATTTAGAGGCGTTGGATCATTATGAAGGAGTGATACAAATGTTTAATAATGGGCTTCAAAAAAAGTTCGTCTCTGATGAGATCATAAATAATTATTGTAAGGTATTGGAGGGATATCGAAAATTAGATGATGAAGAACTCAAATGTATAGTAGAATTCTTCTATCGTATCTGGTATAAATATGATCTTGAAGGGATGTTCTATAAGATAACGATTATGTACCTTTTTAATCACATCTTGGATGATCTTGGATATCGTCGAGGGTTGACGTTGGCTCAACATGAACTAATGTCATTCATTTTAAATATTAGCAACAAGTTGTTGAATGAACTCCCAAAGAAACCTTTGTTATATGTTGAACTTTTTTATCCCAAGAATTCTGAAGATTGTCATTTATTACAACAAGGATATAATTTCGAGGGTTGAAAGATGCAATAAAGTGCAGGTAATTTATTTCATTAATTAGAATAGAATACTTTGAACAAAAAAAAAAAAAATTTGTAAATATTAATGCAAATGCCGTAATGTAAAATGATGAATTTGATACATAGCATATCCCATGTAATGAAGGAAAAAAAAAAAAAATAGTAAACATTTAATTAGTAAATTCATCACCATCGCATTTAATTTTATCCGAATCAAAGGGTACTTTTTCTAGTTCAACCTTCCATCCTTCACAAATCGCTGTAAAAACATTTGTATTTTACAAACAAATTATAGAACACATGATGAGTCAATTTAACATAATAAAGTAAGAAAATTAGACGAGTGTAGTATGTATACCTGATATAGCTTCATAATTCCTGGTCATTATTTCTAAATCTTGTAAGACTTGCTTTGTGAATATATCTACGCTTGTTAAACTAGCACGAAGTGTACGAAGGGTACGTAATTCCTTTTGTGATAATAATGAGTGGAATTAAAATTTACGTGATTAATTAATTATCAATTTTTTTTTTACGATAACGAATTGAAGAAATTGCACGCGTTTCTTTAATTAATGGACGATAATCATATTTTTTTTATGTATAATATCATATTGCACCTGAAATTCTGATTGATCATTCCTGGAGCTTGATTGATTATTGTTGGAGGACATTTTGCGAAATTGATGGTCGTGAACAATTCAAATTATTTATGTGATGGGTCGCGGTGACTTCTGAAATTAAGATTGGTCACAACCCCAAATAATAAGGTACGTGCAACCTTCCAATTCCTGCCAACATTAAGGTAATTCGGGCTGAAATTTAATTAACGTTATTATAAAAGTCGAATTTTTTTTTTTTTTTGAAAATATCAAAATGTCGCTTCCTGACGAAACCTTGCGCAAGGTAAATAATTCTGTTTTTCAATATTCGATTTTTGTTTCTCGTTATTTTTGTTTTTGTTTTTTAAATTCTTTACAATTGAATTTTATCGTTTAAAATAGGTTTTAAACGAACTTCAAAATAGACTTGCTGAACATAAACGACAATTATCAAACGTTAAGGCTCAAATAACAGTAAAAGAACGTGAAAAACGTTTGGCTGAACTTACTAAAAAAGAATTATCCGCACTTGATAAAGATACTAAAACTTATAAATCTGTTGGAAAGGCGTGCGTATAATATACGTTTTATTATTTAATCTTTCAAAAAAAAAAAAAACCAACAAACAAAAATGTTCTAAATCAAATTTTTATAAAGGTTTATTAAAACTGACAAATCAGTTTTAGATAAAGAACAAGATGATAAAATTGCGAAAAATTCAAGTGATCTGGTCACCTTGGATAACACTAAAAAATATTTAGAAAGAAATATTAACGATCTATTAAAAGATGTACATTAGGAATTTATCCCTGGAATTCTTGTAAAACTCTCTGTTAATTTAGATTATTTGGGGAAAGAAAAATAAAATGAACGTAAACGTAAAATGAATTTATATTTTCGATCTTAAAAGCTTTTATTTTGAAAATTGTTATGCAACTTTACAAATGTTACTTGCCTCCAAAGCAGCTTTAATATGTCTCTTTTCAATCATATTTTCTTTACTGGCTTCAGCCTCAGAGTTAGCCTCTTGAGCTAATTTTTGAAGGAATATCATGCAATTAAGGTAGATCTAAATAAAATAACGCGTCAAATTATTGGAACAAATTGACAAACACGAAAAATATTTGCAATAGACATGAAAAATCTCGTACCAAGACATCAACATTCTTACTTAAAGCTTTAGATTGGTGAGTTTTTATGATTCTCTTGAGCGTTGAACGAGGATAAAGAGAAGGCATTTTGACAAAAAATTGTGATATGATTTGAATGAGATCAGACGTGCGTATTTAAATCTAAGTTTAGTCACGTGCTCATAAAAAAAAATCAACAAATTTTCTTTTTAAAGATAATTAATTAGCGGAAAACGAAAATAAATGCCAATTTTTATTGAGCTTATTTTATGTAATATACTTGACTTTTTTATACTTTTTTTTTCACTAATAAAAATGCAAAAAAGGAATACGAAACTTGGAGGTAAAGAACCTCTTGTAAAAAATAAAAGGTTCCCAAAAGAAAACGAAATTGAACATACCGGTACTTTTAAAAAAAGTACAAACGGTTTACATGGTGGCTCGTCAAAAGAACATTCTCCTTTCCAAAAAGTTTCTAATTATACACATACGCCACCAAGAAATATTACATTTCCAATTAATAAATTACAAAAGAAATATATATTAAAGGAATTAACCAATAAATTCGAAAATTTGAACATGTCGGATCCTGATGATGATTATTTTATGGACATTTCACCTAATATTAAGAGGGATGTTATTATTATCGATGACGAACCCGAAACACTTAATAACCAAAATGATGAATTCCGTGCACCCTCACCTACGAGGAATAAATATGCTAATTTACCGGAAATAGATTTATTATCTGATGATGAAACTTCGATACAAAGTAGTACTTCAAGGAGAAAAGGTGAAGGTGCACTTTTACTGTGACGATGAGTTCTTTAAGGTTACAAATCATAAATAAAATTATGTCATTATAGGTTCTGCAGAACATAAACGTTGTCCGTTTTGTAACGAGGCTATTCCTCTTCCACTTCCGGAGCGTATCCGAGCTTATTTGATTAAAATAAATCCTTCAGCTCGAGATAAGTTATCTGACCAAACACAGAATATATCGCCATCATCGTTCCTTCAACGCTCCTTAAATATAATAGACCAGTTTGAGTTTTGTCGTCTACATGATGCAGAATCCCACATTGTTCCAGAAGGTCTTAAGAAAAATTATCCAATTAAAATTGATTTTGAGAGACTTCCAAAACGGGTTAAGAACTTGGTTCCAGAATTGATGTTGATTATAAAGGGAAAAAGGAAGAGCTTGTATAGGGATGTTGCATTATGTGCGTATCAGGAGTTTGGTAGGGCTCGAGCAAGGAAGCCAACTATTTTGATGGGAAGATTTCAAAAATTTCAAGTAAGGTTTTAATCATTATAATGTATAATTACTCTTAATTTAATGTTTTTATAAATTATATGATATACGTTTCAGCCTGGATATTATGGATCTAAAGGCGCCTCTATAATATTTTCTTCACTCGTCTCTCTTTTTATGGATACAAATATTCTTACAATGGATATGACAAAACCGCAAGAACCTTTGGAATACCTCAATCAGGTACTTGTACCCGAAACTGCAATTCGGTTAATTTCTAGGGATCGTGGTGGTATTCCTTTAGAAGATGCAAGAAAGGTTATGGAAAGTAGTGTTGAATTTGGAATGTATGTACATGATGTTGACGATGATCTTGACAATAAATGATTGGTATTTTTACAGGTAAGTTTTATCGGTAAAATTAAATATAAGAAATTTTTTTTTTTGATTATTTTAAATAAATTGTTGATTTATTCAGGTTTATATCTTACAAGAAGCCTCTTAAGATATGATATCATTAAGATTGGAATATTAAATTATTGATCCAATAAAGCAGTAAGGAATGCTTTGAAAAAAAATCGAATGAATACAATAATCTTTACTGCTAAAATTTTTCTTTTCATTGTAAATTAATTACGCTTAAGTAAAATAAATCTAGCATTTGCATTCTTATAATAAACATCATTTGCTATATTGTTTTTAAAAATGTATTTTTTGGAAACCCTTTTTTTTTAATTGACAATATTTAAACAAAAGATCATAATCTGAACGCTATATTATTAGTTTCAAATTCAAAAATGTATATGTTATGCGTCAGATGTCAGAGAATCGACTGGCCTAAATTACCAGTCCATTTTTTTAATGTCTAGCCAGCATTAAAACTCCCAAAAATTTCAAAAACATAATTTTTCAAAAACAAATTTTTATTTTACTTTATTATATTTTACAATATGACTCTCAATATTTTAAGTTCTTTTCTTACAAGACGTCCTAAACTTTCAAAAACTACAAGCCTACATTACTCTTGAGCTAGAAAAAAGAGACTTTGTTATTGTAGCGTTCCTCTCATATAAAATTCTAGAAGTTTTTTTGGCTTGTTAGAAAATTAAATGAAGAATATATCAAAGCCTTTGCTTTGGAAAAAACTGCTCAAGAAAAATTTTAGCAGTAAAGATTATTGTATTCATTCGATTTTTTTTCAAAGC